CAGTAATGATTTGTTGAATGATATTCTGGGGTTGCAAGGATGGTACAACATTCACAAGTCAATAAATGAGATTCACCACATAAACAAAATAAAGGATAAAAACCACATGATCACATCAATAGATACAGAGAAAGCATTTGATAAAATCCAGCACCCATTTATGATAAAAACTCAGCAAACTGGGATTAGAGGGAACATACCTCAACATAATAAAGGTCATATATGACAAACCCACTGCCAGCATCATAGTCAATGGGCAAAAACTACAAGGGTTCCCCTTAAGATCGGGAACAAGATAAGGATGTCCCCGATCTATTTGATGTCTATATGATGTTCTATTCAACATAGTACTGAAAGTCCTAGCCACAGCAATCAGACAAGAAGAAATAAAAGGCATCCAAATTGAGAAAGAAGAAGTAAAACTGTCTTTATTTGCAGATGACATGACACTGTACATAGAGAACTGTGGTGGACCCTGTCCTGCGGAGTCCTCTGATTCACCATGGATGAAATAATGTCTGAAATAACAAGGCATTCCAGACACCAAGTGCTGTCCAGAAGGCGATTCTCTCTAGTGGAGAATGCCCCGAGCCCTTCTCTGAAGTGGCTTTTATTGAGAACAATATGTGCAGGAGTATACAGCATGTATGCAAAGCTTATCAATCAATGCCCAAAGGCTATATTTACAGAAAACAAAGATCATAGGTAACAATTGAAGAAACACAGATTTGTCTCAGGTCAGGGTCTGTAAGACATGCTGAAGTCAGATGGTCATTAAGGTATGGCTCCTGAATTCAGGAATTCACTCCTGTTTAGAGCTTAAACATCTGGTTTGTCCTTACTAGGGCAGTGCAAAGCAGATGGATACAATGCATTCCTCAGGCCAGATTTCCCATGGGAACCCTCGATGTTAGGATCAGATCACACCTGCCTCCCAGCATTCCCAGTTTTCTGGTTGAGACTTACAAGGCCTTTTTCAAGGCGTCTTTTGCGGGACTACAATTCCCAATAGCACACAAAGTGGTCCCCAACAGAGAACCCCAAAGATTCCACCAAGAAACTACTAGATATGATAAAGAAATTCAGCAAAGTATCAGGATACAAAATTTATATCTAGAAATCAGTTGTATTTTTATTTTTAATTATTTTTAAATTTAGAAATCATGTTTATTATATTACAGTTGTCTCAATTTTTCAGAAATCAGTTATATTTTTATATGTCAAAAACGAACTAATAGCAAGGGAAATTAAGCAAATAATCCCATTCACAATTGCTACAAAAAGAAAAAAATACCTAGGAATAAACCTAACCAAGTATGGAAAAGACCTGTACTCAGGAAATTACAAGGTGATGAAGAAAGAAATAGAAGAAATACAAATAAGTGGAAGCACATATGTTTATGGATAGGAAGAATTAACATCATTAAAATGTCCATACTACCCAAAGGAATCTATAGATTCAATGCAATTCTTAGCAAGATTCCAATGATGTATTTCACAGAACTAGAACAAATATTTCAAAAATTTATATGGAACTGCAAAAGGCCCTCGACAGCAACAATGATCCTGAGAAAAAAGAACAAAGTTGGAGGAATCATGCTACCTGATATGAAACTATACTATAAGTCCATAGTAATCAAAACAGCGTGGTACTGGTATTAAAACAGGCACATAGATCAATGGAACAGAATAGAGAGCCCAGAAATAAACCCACACCTTTATAGTCAATTAACATTCGACAGAGGAAGCAAGCACATACGGTGGGCTAAAGACAGTTTATTCAAGAAGATTGGGAAAATTGGACATATGCATGTAGAAAAATGAAAATAGACCATCTTCTTACACTATACATGAGAATAAATTCAAAATGAATCAAAGATTTAAATGTTAGACCCAAAACCATAAAAGTCCTAGAAGAAATCATAAGCAGCAAAATCTTGGACATTGCTTGTAGAAATTTTTTTGTCAAATATATTTCTCCCCAGGCAAGAGAAACAAAAGAAAAATAAACAAATGGGCCCTCATCAAACTAAAATATTTTTGCACAGCAAAGGAAATCATCAACAAAATAAAAAGACAATGCACAGAATGGGAGAACGTATTCGCTGATACATCTGATAAGCAGTTAATATCCAAAATTTATAAAGTATTTACAAAACTCAACACCAAAAAAACAAACAACCCAATTTAAACAACAGGCGAAGGACCTGAATAGGCACTTGTCCAAAGAGGACAAATGGCCAAGAGATATATGAAAAGATGCTTAATGTCACTAATCATCAGAGAAATGTAAATAAAAACCACAATGAGCCCTAGATGGTGTGGCTCACTGGATTGAGTGCCAGCCTGCAAACCAAATCGTCACCAGTTCGATTCCCAGTGCAGGGCACATGCCTAGGTTGCAGGCCAGGTCCCCAGTTCTGGGCACGTGAGATGCAACCATACATTGATGTTTCTCTTCCTCTCTTTTTCTCCCTCCATTCCCTTCTCTAAATATGAAAAAAAAAGGAAAAAAAAGAAAACACAATGAGATACCATTTCACACCTGTCAGAATGGCTATCATCAAGAAATCAACAAAAAACAAGTGCTGGTGAGGATGTGGAGAAAGGGTAACCCTTTTGGACTGTTGGTGGGCATGCAAACTGTTACAGCCCCTATGGAAAGCATTATGAAGATATGTGAAAAAATTAAAAGTGGATTTTCCTTTTGACCCAATTTCTAGGAATATATCTGAAGGGACCCAAAAACTAATTTGAAAGAACATAAGCACCTCTATGTTCATTGCAGCATTATTTACAATTACCAAGATACAGAAGCAGTATCCATTAGTAGATGAGTGGATAAAACTACTATGAGCATTTACACAATGGAATACTACTCGATCATAAAAAAGAAGAAAATTTTACCCTTTGCAACAGTATGAATGGACCTGGAGAACATTATGCTAAGTGAAATAAGCCAGTCAGAAAAAGACAAATACCATATGATTTCACTTGTATGTGGAATCTAATGAACAAACTGAACTGACATGAAAAAAAGAGACAGATTCAGAGGGAGCAGGCTGACAGCTAGTGGGGTAAGGGGAGGTTAGGGGGTGGAGAGATTGACCAAAAAGGAAAAAGGACTCATGGACATGGACAACAGTGTGTTGATTGCTGGGGGTGAGCGAGTATAAGGGGACTAAATGGTAATGGAAAAAATACAATGAAGATTAAATTAAAAATGTATAACTCTATAAAGGAAAATAAAGATTTATTGAATGAATAGATGTGCGTGTGGCAGCAGCAGTTCAGATGATACCCAAAGAAGGGCTTATGGGGTGCTGTGGGGCTCCTCTCCCCTCTCCCCTTATTACTATTCTGTATACTAGGATCCCTCCTGAAAGGGTTCCAGGACCCAATTCCAATGTACGATGTGTGGAAGCTTCCCCACACCAACAAGCAATTCTCAGAGGACAGCAGAGATCGAGGATTCAACTCAATTCTGATACCAGCTTCTTGGAGATAGAGTCAGATTCCACAGGTAAAGGACTCAGTCCCACAGACCACCCTCCACTTCAGAGGCCAGTCCTGCAAGCCTAGGTTGTTACCTGTGCTTCTGACCCACGAGGTTCATATCAGAGAAACTGCGACCCTTTCTTTGGGTTGGATTAGTTTGCTAGAATGGCTCACAGAACTCAAGAAAATCCATATACTCATTAGATTACCGATTTATTAGCAAGGGAATTAAATAACATGAATCAACAGCCGGGTGAAGAGATACATAGAGCGAGGTCCCAAACGAAGAAGCTTCTGTCCTCCTGGAGTTTGGGGCGCAGCAAGAAGGAAGTGTTCTGGTTCCTCAACGGGGAAGCTCAAATAAAAAGGCCCAGGAACTATTCTTTTTGGGGGTTTTATCGAGACTTCATTTAGATAGCCATGATTGACTAACTCATTGGCCATTCGTGATTGATTCAACCTCAAGCACCGCCCCTCGGCCCCACCCCCCCAACCCCCTCAATCAGGGGTGGAACTGAAAGTGTGTCTAACCACCCGATTGGCTCCTGTCGGGTGGGATCCAAAAGTCACCTCATGAACATAACAAGAACTCTTGTCACTTCGGAAATTTCAAGGGGGTTGGGAGCTGTAAGCCAAGGACTGTGCAAGAAGACCAAGTACGTCTGACACGTATATTTCAGTCATCTGAATGAACAAATATCTATGTATTTCCTATAAATCACAAGATTGCACCTCCTTTTGCCGGAAGCCTGCCTCCTCAAAGTTCCTTCAACTGAAATCCTGAGAGGTGCAGCCAACCCGCCCACATATACACAACCAGAGCAAGGCTGCTTCTTGCCTTTAGGAGGAAGTTCTAAGCAAGATCTTTGGCTATAAAGAGGGCGTTAGCTTTTACTGCGACCCCATTCTCAGGGATATTTGTACACCAAATATTTCTGGAGAGGACTAAAACCCGAATAACGGTAATTGATGGCCAGCGAAATAGGTGAGGTTATGATGGGGTGGTAAATTGTGATCAAAGCCTATCGCAAAGACCGTGATCTACAAGCAACATGGGCGTCGGCTAAAATTAAATGATGGTTGGATCCTGAAGTACAACAGGATCCCTGACGTCCTTTCTGTACCCCCATCCTCCCACTTAAGAGAGCAGCGGAGGAAGGTTAAGGACAGCAGCCGAGGATACGCCCCTCCATCAAGCCCCGCTCTGCCTCACTTTCTCTGGTATGACCCCATCCACAAACATACCCCCTTCTTTGTGCCCTCGCCCCTTCCAAGGGTTACTTTCTCGGCCTTGTCAGTTACCCTGCTCTGTTCCATCATTGTCTCGCTGGCCCTGCCCTTCCGGCCTGCCCGCGAGCCACGCGCGCAGGCGCGCTTCTCGCTTCCTTTACTTCCTGGCAGCACGCAGCTCACAGGCTTTCGCTGTCGTATTTTGAATACTGAGGAGGGAATGTGGCGGGCGTGGGAAGGTTCCTGCCGCGGCGTCCGGGCGAGTACTGGAGTCCTCCTCCCTCTCTCCAGGCCTCGGAGCTGAAGCCCGAAACAGTGCGGGACGGGGGTGGTGCGGGAGAGGAGGCGATGCGACTCCCGGGCATGGCAACCCGGGACGCGGCGCCTGCTCAGGCTCAGAGCTCGGACCTGGCACCCTGGGCTCATTTGGAGGCTTCCGCCCGCCTCCTGCTGCAGGCGCTGCAGGCGGGGCCAGACGGGGCGCGGCGCGGCCTGGGGATGCTGCGGATGCTGGGCAGGCGCGGCGGGGAGCCCTTCGCCTGGGGCTCCGTCCTGGAGTCGCTGTGCCGGGAGGAGGCCGTTACGGAGGGCCCGGACTGTCGGCTGCAGTTGTAAGTCGTCTGGTCCGCCGCTGGCGTAGCGCCGGGTGCCGCATTTCACCCTCCACCGTCCTGTGAGGCAGGGGTGGCGCCTCCTACCTCCTCACTGAGGCTCAGTGAGGTTAATTAATTCCCCACTGCGAGCGGACCCTGCCGCGCACCCGGTGGTACGTCGTGAGCACCTACCGTGTGCCGGCCAGTGCCGCGGACCTGGCCGCAAGACACGCCTTCGTCTGGGTGTAAATGAATAGTTACAACTCAGTGTGCTCAAATAGATTTTGATCGCACATCTCTAAGAAATTGAAATCGTACCTTCAATATAGGTATACTTATGTATAAGGTGTATGCGTGTGTTAAAGTACGTACATTTTGACGTATACAAAAATTGAAATTTAAAATGAGATAAATGACAAACATCTGGTTGTGGTAGCTTTATAGTATCAATTTTTCAACTGCATAACATACATTTTATGACGATATCACTTTCCTTAAGGATGGTGTTCTTGATTTTTTTTTTCTGCCTTTTTATGTGACTTACAATTCCTACTAGGTGCAGAGGTGTAAGCCTTGCCATTTTCTTATTTCGTTGTGATTCCGTTATAGATATTCACTTTCTTTTCAGGCGTCCTTATACATGTCCGTTTTGTGAGGGTTCCACTTTCTTAAAAAGAGTTACTGCTGTACTCATTAATGCATTTAACTATTACAGTTAGCTGAAATACGTAGAAAGTAAAAAAAAAAAAAAAAAAAAAAAAAAAAAAAAGTGAGTGCCACCTGCAGCCTCTAGGGGTGTGGAGACCTGGCCTTCTACTCTTGGAAACCCCTGCCTCAGAATTAGTGAGGGCAATCCATGTATTAAACATTTGTAATACTTAATTTCTTGTGTTTTAGATAAGTAAAAACAGAAGTTCTTATATTTTCTTCCCACACTCCACTTTAAATTTATTTCAAGAGATGGGTCAGGAGAACTTTCCAAACCCCCAAATTGGAGGCTATAGAAATGCTTTCCAACTGTCTGGCTTTTTCTGAGCAGAGTAAGGAGATGGAGAATTTAACCTAAGCTTCCTGGATAGAACTGTATTTAAGTATCATTGGTTTCTTTTGTAATCATATGTATTTTATTTTATACATTTAACACTTATTCTGATAAGGGGGGGGGGTCCATGTACCAAAGGGAAAAAAAAGCTAAAAGCCTCTTAAATAGGGTCTTCCACACCTCTCTACTCCCAAATGTGCTACACCACAAATTGACCATTTTTTTAACATACGCTAGTTTTCTCTCTCACTTAGTGTTCGTTTTCCACAAAGTTGTTTTTTTCTCCTCTCACACACATCCAAAGTACCTCTGTGTGTGATGTTGAACAGCTCTTTAAAGTTGTGTATAGGGAGGAGCAGAGGCATGATGGGTGGGGGGCTAGATGCACCCATGACTTGCCACCCTAACAAACCTCAGGTCACCCAGCATCTGGATTTGTGCCTTCACATTACACACAGCGACATTGCTCTGTCCTCAGCAGCCCTTGCTGATATCTGGACACTTGTTCTCAGAGTTAATTCATTCAATAAATGTGTATCAAGTGCCTGCTAGGGGCCAGTGCTTTGCTGGGCACTGAGACACAGCAAAGACACATACTGTCTGTTTCCCAGGAGCTCATTTTGGTGAGAGGAACAGGGCTGGGCAGGTGTCACCCTGTGACTTTCAGGGGAATGCCAGATGGAGCACAGGGCCGCAGACAGTATTGCACAGCACCTTGGAGTATTTTTACATTGTTTGGGCAAGGACCTTTTTTCTTTTTTATGTGAAACAAGCATGAATTTTTGAGCTGAAATAGGAAGTGTCAAAGAGCAGGGCCCAGCATAGAATAATAGATACTCAACACTTGTTGAATGACTTGTGCTGTCCCCACTCCATCCACACTGACTCACAGGTACTGCCTCCCAACCCCCTAACTGTCCATTCCCATCTAGCCTCTAGCTCTGCCTGGTCTGCCCTATGGTCCTTTCAGCAAGACTCTTAACTGCTTGCCTCTCTCTGCTACTCAGGAAACCACTGCTGCTGCGATTGCCCATGTTATGCCAGCGGAACCTGATGTCCCTGTTGATGGCTGTTAGGCCATCGCTCCCTGAAAACAGGCTGCTCCCTCTGCTGCAGATCGTACGGCAGGACCCAAGCCCTGACCCTGATGCCTGGCTCCAGGCCCTAGGGAAATTGCTGCAAAGGGACCTGGGTGTTGGGGTCTCCACTGAGGGAGCGTCCCCACTGTCTGAAAGGTGCCGGAGACAGCTCCGAGACCTGTGTAGGCAGCTGGGCCCAGGGGGCAGGAGGTTGAATTTGGCCCAGTCTCCAGACCGCGAAGTAGAAAATGAGGAGGACAAGGACTCTCAGCAGCCTAGGAAACGAAGAAAGGAGCCAGAGGAAGAGCCCACCAGTCATGAGAGGGAGCGGGCCCCTAAAAGATTCCGGTGTTTGGAAACGGAAGAAGAGGAAAGCTTTGAGGAGGAGAGAGCTGAACGTCAGTCTTTGGAAACTGTGGCAGATGGAGGAGTCACATCACCCATTAAGAACCAGCCTGTTTTGGGGACTGAGCCCACTGAGGCTGGTCAGAGTCTGGAGGTTGCTAAGGGATCAGCTGAGAGTTTGGAGTTGCCCAAAACTATCCAGGTACAAGGGTGAGGAGGCTGGGTTTAGAGTGTTCCTTCAGGAGTAGGTTTATCCAGGGCAAAAGCCGTGGATACTTTCTCAATTTGTCCATGGAGCAAGGGACAGGAGGGTGGGGTTAAGGACATGTAGTCTGCTCTGCAGACTCTGGGGAAGGGAGTTAAGGGAGTTGAGGAACCCTTGACCTAATGATCTATAAGATGATGTTAAAGGGTACCAGTCAAGAGGAGAGGCTCCAGAGCCACCCCGCCTTGCCATCCCATGGGAGTGGGGGCAATGATGCCAGCACCCAGCCTGCCCTCCCAGCCCAAGGCCTGGGTCTACCCCCATTGGGGTGAACACAGAGAAGATGAGTCTAGATAGCTGGATTTGCACGGCCCTTGTCCAGTTTGAGTTCTTAAGCTCTTATCAAGGTTTAGACTTTATGTTCTTGGCACTCTTGAACCATCTTTGCCTACTAGCTCCCTCCAGTTTGGGGTCTTCTCAGGTGAGGGAGCTGGGACTGGGCTTGAGGCCATGCTGAGTAGGGACTTGGCAGTGACTGGACCCTCCTGTACAGGACCAGGTTCCCAGGCTACAGAAGCTGCTCAAGACCTTCGGGGAGGTGAGTGGCTCTACCCGCTCACCATAGCCCTTCTTCACCTTCCTGGACCTCAGCGGCGCTCAGGGAGGCATCAGTGCAGTGAGGCTCAGGCTGTTTGGGTGAGGGGGCTTGGTCTGAAGATCTGAGGACAGTCACTGCAGGGCGTTTCTGGGCCCAAGCACATATTTGTTGTCTGGTAGCACCTTCCTGAGTCCTCAGTCACCCACTCCAGTCGAAGGAGTGGCCTCAGTGACTTTTCATCAAGCACTCTGCCAGCTCTAATGTGGGGTTTGCCTTCCTAGGGGTTGGAGGGGTTGGAGGATGCCCCCCCAGTTGAACTGCGGCTTCTCCATGAATGCAGTCCCAGCCAAGTGAGTTCAGAAAGATTTCCTGGACCTGAGGTTACATCCCCTCTCCCCAGCCTTCTTCCGTTTAACTTCATGTTTCCCTGCCTCATGTGACATTTTTGGAGGGGATTTTGTTCTTTTGTTTTTTGTCTCTCAGACAGTGGTCACCCCGAGTGGTTTTTTTCTAGCTCTTGACTCCACCCCATAGGGCAGCTCTCCCAGTCTTACCTTACCCTTGCCCTACCCCCTCTGCTGCCCAGTTGGGTGTCCTTGCCCTACCCCCTCTGCTGCCCAGTTGGGTGTCCTTGCCCTACCCCCTCTGCTGCCCAGTTGGCTTGAGACAGCCTAGCAGAGGCAGATGGAATGTCCCTCTGTCCTCCCTCCTGCTCGGCAGATGGACCTGCTCTGTGCCCAGCTGCAGTTCCACCAGCTCTCGGACACAGGCCTTCTGCAGCTCTGTACCTGGTTGCTGTCCCTTTCACCAGATCTTAGCCTCAGCAATGCTACTGTTCTGGCCAGGAGCCTCTTTCTTGGACGGGTAGGTGCTTTGGGTGCACTCAGGCTGTCAGGCACAGTTGGGGAGAGAGGCTGAGCCCTCAGAAGGGTGGTGCTTGGGAGAGGATGTTCCAGCCTTGCAGGCATCTGGCCTGTCCAGGCAGCCTGGGGCAGGGGAAGGGCATGGGCCCCTGGATCCTCTACCCATATGACATCTAACTCCTCCTTGAACTTCAGACCATTTCCGAAGGATTGGGCTCAGGGATTTGGGAGCTGGGGAAGGGCGCTCTATGTCTTTTCCAGTGGGTGAGTCTATGTGAGTCCTAGATAAAGAACTTTTTTCCCTCTGTAACATATATCATCATCTGAAATATGTGTCTGAAAACACTTACTGAAGGTAAGAAGAAATGAATTAAATAGTATTTTCTTCCCCATTGGCTGTAGATCCTCTCCCTGACTTCCTCGGCCTCCCGCCTGCTCACAACTTCCCTGACTTCCTTCTGTGCCAAGTATACCCACCCCATCTGCAGAGCCCTCCTAGGCCCCGTGCTCCGGGCCCCAGAAACAGGTAACTCTGGAAACAGCCTTCACCCAGGGTGATCATGGCAGGAGTTGGGCATCCAACGAATAATACACTCGTTACTTCCCTGATGACGCCCCTATAATGAACCGAGCATTCTGTTCCCTGCCTTCCCATCCTCTCCTGCCATTTTCTCCAGACTTCCCCTGTCTACTGTCCCCTACCCAGGTCCAGCTCAAACAGAGTTATTGTGTTGCCTTACAAAGGACGAGGCTCTGGAGACAGACAGGCAGGTTCTAATCCTGGGGTGAGTATACAGGCCTCCACGCCCCCACTCCTTCCTTCTCCCCCTGACCAAGTCTGTCCCTGGCATTCTGGCGTTGGAGCCACTGAGCACCAGGCCCTGTGCCCGAAAGATAGGAGGTGCCCCCTCCCACTGTTGTCTGAACCTGAGTTGTGCCTTCCCACCTGGGCCCTTGCTAGTTGCTGTTCCATGCCTCTTCCTAAGCCCAGGTTCTCCGTCTTCCCTGCCAGGAGCCTGGTGGAATGCGGGCAAGAGGCCGGTGGTCCCAGCTCTTGAGTAGTTCATAACGTAGTTGGAAATTGGCATTGTGGTTATGAGCACGGGCTCTGGAATCAGCCAAGACGTGGTTTTAAATCTCAACTTTGTTTTTTGTTTTTTTAAAATGTATAATTCAAACAGGTTATTCCATATTTCTGAGCATCTCAGAGCTTCTTCATGTGAAAAATGGGGATAATACTATGTCGGATTTTTCTAGATACTAAATGTGGTGATTCATATAAAGATCTCAGTACAGCACCTGGCACTTAGTAAATGCTAAGAAATTGTTATTAAATTGGAATTAAAATTGGGGAGTCAGGACACAGGCATGTAGGAATAATGAGTAGGTAAGACCCCATTGAACACCAACATGAACTATAAAATGCCAAGTATAATAGGAGCAGGGGCAGTCTCAAAAATAATATCAGCCACCACATATTGAGCACTGTCTCTGTGCTTCAGATTCATTATCTCCGTTAGCCTTCATGCAGTCTGGCGGGGTAGGTGCTGCCACTGTCCTAAAGATGCTCAGATAGGCTGAGTTATGTGGCCAAAGGTCCCACAGTGAGCAAGTGAGAAAGGCTGGAATCAAACCCAAGCCTGTGCACCCAAGAAGCCACACTGTGTGACATGTTGCCTTTACAGACAAGCTGAGGACCTTGCAGTAGGACAGGAAGCACAGCTGGAGTGGACCTCGCTGTGGGTGGGGCCCTGCAGGGAAGGCTCGCCTGCTCCAGGAGGCCTTGTGTGTGTCGTCTCATCCATCATTATGTTTCCTGGGCCAACCTCACCTTTTGTACTCAGGATGTGTTCTTGACTTCTGGTTATTTTTCAGGGGACCTTAGTATACCCTACTGCCACATCCATTGTGAGCTCCTGGGGTCTTGGGTTGTGGTTTTCCCAGCACTGAGTACAGGCTCTGCAACAATGGCTCCTGGGCAGCCGGCTGAGTCAGGGGGAGTCGGACTCCTTCCTCTGGTGACAGGGATCTTGGCCGCCCCAGGCCTTGCCCTGCCTTCAGACAGGAGCAGTAGACACCCAGGCTTGGGTGGGAGGCCAGGCTTTACCCATGAGGGCCTGTGCTTTACAGACACATCTTGGAGTTGCCCTGGAAGGAGCAGACTTTCTTGGTGTTGCAGTCACTCCTGGAGCGGCAGGTGAGCAGGCTGCCTTGGGGAAGGGTGGACAAGGAAGTGTTGCAGAGCTGTGGACGGGCAGGCGGCCCCTGGGATTCTGATCCCTTTGTTGATTCAGGGGCAGGCAGGACTGCTGCCCTACAGCAGGGTTGGGGGAGAGACCTGGGGCTTAAAGGCTGATAGCAGAGAGCTGGCTGCCTGGTAAATCCCATCAGTGCTTATAGGCTCTGGGGCCTTGGGGAGGGACTTCTGATGTGTGTGTATAAATTTAGTTTTATTTCTGAATAGGTAATAAATTCATATGCTTACAATTTTGGAAGCTGAAAAAGATAATAGTGATATACCCCAGCCATCCAGATTCCCCTCCCCAGGGTGAATGAGTGTTATTAATTTCAGGGGATCCCTCCTAGAGATGCTTTATATCTACAAGGATGCAGGTATAAATGCACTCTTCCTCTGCTTTTTGCACAGATGGTAACAGCAAGCTCAGTGCTCTGTATTTTGCTTTATTCACTAACAGTATATTTTGGCAGTTTTTCCATATCAGTACCTAAAATTTTGCCTCATTTGTTTATAACTTAGGTGTTGACCTAACCTCTCTCTGTCTCAGTTTCATCTACTAAAGGGAGTGATGATGGCACCTATCACATAAGACTGTGGTGAGGTTTAAATGGGGTAATTGGTGTAAAGTGCTCGAGTGTGCCTGGGTGCCTGGTGCTTAATAATATTTATTAAACTATTATTATAAAGAGCTATTATTATTATGCTAGCAGTAACACTCCTGTGTATCTTCAACCACTAAGCCAGGCTAGGGATCCTTGGCCTCCCTTAGTCCTAATCTGAGCCTTTGCAATGGTTGCCACAATTTTCTGAGACCTATATACCAGCTGTATGTGCATTATCTCATTTAATCATTTTCACAGTCTTCAGAGTTAGATTTTATGGGCCCCATTTTATAGATTTGGAAACTGAGGCTTAGTTTGGTTAAGTGATCTGCACAGGGTCACCTAGTTAAGAAGTGGTGGAATTGGGAATTAATGCAAGGCCTTTTCTTGTGCCACTGTCTCAAATCCCAATGTGTGCAGGTGGAGATGACCCCTGAGAAGTTCGATGTGTTGATGGAGAGGCTCTGTAAAGAGGGGCTGGCAGCCACCGCATCCATGGCCTATGCCAAGCTCCTGCTGACAGTGATGACCAAGTATCAGGCCAGTGTGGGTGTTGATAGGGCCACGAGGGCTGGTCCTGCTGCTCTGAACCTGCCATGGGGGTATACATGAGTTTGCCAGGGAGAAAACTCTTAATGTTAGCCAGAGAAACCACAAGTTCAAATGCAGGACTAGGGAATGAGACTACTTAAGCGTTCACTCATCCAGCCAACATCACTGTGGGCCAGATGCCATATGGGGAATGAACAGTGACCATATCACAGTTGCTACCCTTGACCTGACCCTCTCCCCTAACACCGAGTTAGTCAGAGGGGAGAGAGATGATAAACAGATCATTGTAATATTTGGTAGGAGCCAGGTGAGAGGTATGCACAGGGCTTTTGGTGACAGGAAGAGGGGACAACTAAACCTTGTTTGTGGTTGTGAATTGAGACAGGCTTCCTGACTTTTAAAAGATGAGTGTCAGTCAAGGGTCAAAATGGAGGAAAGGGCATTCAAGGGAAAGCAACCTGTAAGCAACAAGTGTCCAAGGGGTCTACAGGTAGTTCACTGTAGCTGGGACCTAAAAATATGAGAGTTGATGATGGTGAGTGATGAGGTCAGCTAAAATACAAAGAGCTAACACTTGCATAGCTCCTGCTGCATCTCAGGCACTGCTCTAAGTCCTTTACACGTGTGAACTTGCTAGTTTATTACATGTGTTAGCACTATGAGAAGATACTATTAGCTCCATTTTATAGAAAAAGAAATTGAGACTCAGAATGTTCAAAGTAACTTGCCCAAGGTCACCTTGCCAAGTCATGGTAGCGTCTTATGAAGAGCCCAGTAGGTTATGGTGAGGAGCTTGGACTTTATCTTGAAGGCCAGGTATTCTTGGTTGTGGGCTCTTTACCTTTTTCTTGAGAATCACAGACCCATTTGATGATTTGGCAAAAGCTATAGCTCCTCCCAGAAAGAAATGAATACATGAATACACATCTTATGAACACATTGTTCAGGAGGCCCCTGGGTCCTCTAGAATATGCCCTGGAGGGAGGACCTCCAACATGACGCCTCAGGAGTTATTCCAGGTCCTATCAGCTGGAGTGACTTGGTCAGATTCGCATTTTATAAAGAAACCTCTGGCCTCTTTAAGGAGTGGGGATTAGAGAGTGAAGATACAAGGTTGAGACCTATCAAGAGGTTGTAGCAACAGGTTAGGAAAGAAAAAGTATGGCCCAGAAGGAAGGTGGCAGTTGCAGTGGACTGTCTCTGAACACAGTTTCCTCATCTGTAACAGGGAGGGTTGTGAGGATTTTATGAACTAATGCACATAGTGTGCAGCCACATAGCAAGCACTCAGTTGTCAGTTATTAATATGGCTGATTTAGTAAGTTGTGCAATTAGTATTTGGCCCAGGTCCACCTGCATCCAAAGACTTTGCTTCACTATGGTGAAATAACGAGGTTCGATTGTTCAGGACATCATTGTTTCCTTCCATTGTCCTTAAGTCCTAGATTCCTCCCCTTTCTAAGTAGAGCCCAGGGTGGGATGGGAGGGGAGGGATCAGCTGCTGGAGTCCTGACATGATTCTTCCTTCTCCCTAGATCACTGAGACCCAGAGGCTGGGCCTGGCCATGCCTCTGTCACTGAACACCACTTTTCTGAGGAAGCCCTTGCAGGCTGCCCTGAGACATCTGGCCCCCTGACCTTCCACCAAGGGACCACTCTCCTAGAGCACTCTCACCAGCTTCCCGAAGGATACTTCTTTCCTCAGCCCCTCTCCCTGACCCCTCGCCTGGGGGTAAAGGCTGAGCCTTGCCACCCCAGGCATCAACTGTCTCCTGTTCCAGGCTGCAGAGATGCCATCTTGACTTCCCAAGCAGCAGCAGGGTACCAGGCTAAGAGGGCTGGATTTCCAAGGGCTGCTGACCCTGGTTCACTCCTTGTCACTTCTACCTCAGGCTGTGGCAATAAAAACTCTCCTGTAAGCCCCAATAGGGTCACAGCAGGCCCAGAATAGACAAATGATGCTCTGGGGGACCTGTGTGCTCAGCACAAATCTCTTGTGTTCCAGTGTGTGTTATGATCCTTTGTACTGTTCAGACTTGAATAATAATTTATCAATGGCATTTAATAAAAAGTGAGAAGTTTAACAATGTCTTATCAGAAGCAGTCCCTGCATTCCTATTAACTCTGGGTATTCCTCGAAAATCAGCTCACCAACACCCCTACCACCACTCCACCCTGCCCAGTGAGGGGCATTTATTCTCCAGTGAAATGTTCTGTGAGAGGAATGATAGAGTTCTGAAGTTCACTCATTCACATTCTGTGGGCCAAATAATGTGTGATACCACCCACCTCAACCCTATTAGCTGTCTCTTGAGTACCTGAGGGTGTTCATACTGTGGGCAGTATGTGAGGTGGGCAGCAACCAATGGCGGGGGGTGGGGTGGGCGGGGGGGGGGTGATGCTTGAAGGTGGGAGTGACTCAGACTGGAGTTGGAGTCTGGGGCAGAAGACACTTTAGTACGGATAGAGGGATTCTGGGGTTACTATGGACTGAGAAGAGGATGTGGCCAATGGAACATGAAAAGGCAGAAAGGATGTGCAATACTGTGGGCACCTCTGCTTTACATCTTCCCATAGCACCTAGCTAAGTGCCTTGTTCATAGTAAACACTTCACAGGTAGATGTTACTGAAGCAACCGTCGTCGGGTGAAAGTTCTTTACAGTACCTTTCCAGCTCTTCCTCACTACAGCTTTGAGGGGCCGAGAACACTTTTATTGACATGTCCCTTTTCACAACTCCCTCGGAAGCCGGGGGCCCCCTATTAGAGCAAGATAAGGGAGAGATCTGGAGACGCGCGGGCAGGGCAGGAGGAAGTGGACAGAGGAAGTCTGGAGACAAACATGCAGGAATTGCACCCTCTCAGCGGCCTAGTACACGTGACTTACGAGGCTCAAACCCTGGACCTAGCCTCTTCTTACGGGCCTGGCAGCTGCTGGCGCAAAAGAGGAAAGACGGTCTCAAAGTGCCGTGGGGCGTCCAGGACTGCAGCATCTCAGACGGTCGGGGCGCTGATCTAGCTTTACCAAGCGCGGCAGCGCCCTCCAGCGGCTGCAGACGCCGGCGCTCCCGGGGAAACAGTGAAAGACCGCACTTAGAAGGGAAGCCACAAGGCATCTCTCGCGAGAACAAGAGCCCTATTTGAGCGCATGCGCGAACTGTGTTAGTCTCTTTTCCGGTTTTTGCGGCGTACAAAGTCATGAGGTGAGTGACATTTAGGGTGTTATCCGTACTCATCTACACTTCCAGGCACCTCCGTGGGGAAGGAGACCCAACGGATGGGATTGGGGATCCTTGCCCTTGTTTGGCCGCGGGGCATTTCTTGCCGGTCGTCCGTCCGCAGGATACGTGTTCAAGTTCTTGTGTCAAGCCCGGCTGCCAGTGGGGTCCCTCTTTCCTGGGGCTTGCGTCTGGCTCTTGGACGCAAATCTTCTAACCTGGTGTCCGAGGTCCCTGACCACGCCGAGGGTGTCGGACCGCGGCGCCCGGGTGCTGAGCGCAGGTCTTGCTTATCTCTCACAGCAGCAAAGTCTCCCGCGACACCCTGTACGAGGCGGTGCGGGAAGTCCTGCACGGCAACCAACGCAAGCGCCGGAAGTAAGCGCGGGCCTCCGCGGAGGGCAGTCCCTGGGGGGCTTGGGGAGCTGTGGGCCCACGGCTAATGTGTTACTTTCTCTAAGGTTTTTGGAGACGGTGGAGCTGCAGATCAGCTTGAAGAACTATGACCCTCAGAAGGACAAACGTTTCTCGGGCACCGTCAGGTTGGCACCGTTCTGACCCCACCCAGTCCTCAGTGCCCCAGCGTCCGGCTTTATGCCTCGAGGCTGCTCTTGAGCCCGAGGGGGGCAGGCACGCGCGGCACTGAAGTACCCGGGTAGTTCAGACCCCCTGCTCCGGGCAGGCGCGGCTGGACGGACCCCCACCCTGGGTCTTAAAACAAGAGGGGAGGCGTGGGGAGGCCTTGGCCGAGCCCGCCGGCTAGTTTGAGAAGCCAGACTAGCTGTTGGTGAACGTGGACGTTCTGGGTAAGGCTCAGTGGCTGCCGTGGTCCCAGACCCGTTCACCTGCCGTTGGACCCGGGGCTGGGCGTGACCTATCCTGTCCCCACAACCGCAGGCTTAAGTCCACTCCCCGCCCCAAGTTCTCGGTGTGTGTTCTCGGGGACCAGCAGCATTGTGATGAGGCCAAGGCCGTGGACATCCCCCACATGGACATCGAGGCGCTGAAGAAACTCAACAAGAATAAGAAACTGGTCAAGAAGTTGGGTGAGTGTGAGGATGGGATGTGGACAGACAAGTGGTAGAAAAGTGATACTTCTACCATTTGGACTTTAAAATAAGGAGGGTAAATTGGGATCAAAAGGATCTGCTCTCGTTTGTTAACTTGAGTTAAGAAAGTTCTCTTTATCTTTGCTTTGAGAATTGAAGTTTATTACAAGGGAAGGAGGCTAAGCAGTGGTTCTTTCTAAACGGGAGATTTGTTGACTAGTCAAGTGCTGGTGGCCTGAATTGCAATTTCTACTTACGCGCCATTTTAATTTCTTTTTAATCTGTGCTGTAAACGTTTTACAGGGAGGAAATGGATACCCCAGTTGTCATAGTGAGAAAGTAGGAAGGCACCAGATTAACTAGAGTGTGTATTTTCCATTGCAACATGGATTGCGGGTCAGCCTGGGCTTCTGATGCAAGGTTTTATGTGAGTGTTGGACCAGTAAAAGTCCAAAGGGTGGAGATGATCAAACTGGAGTGAGGAGATTAAAAAAACTTGGTACCTGAAGAATAGGGGAGAGTGTGCTGGCTTGGGGCTACTTCTTTGGTTGGTTCACAGAGCCCAGTTTGGAGGTCGGCTTTTCAGGGTCCTAAGCATGCACTGTCTTACTCCCTTTACCAGCCAAGAAGTATGATGCCTTTTTGGCTTCAGAGTCTCTGATCAAGCAAATCCCACGAATCCTGGGCCCAGGCCTGAATAAGGCTGGCAAGTTCCCTTCCCTGTTGACCCACAATGAGAACATGGTGGCCAAAGTTGATGAAGTGAAATCCACAATTAAGTTCCAGATGAAGAAGGTAAGGAGGTCTGGCTGGTTGCATGGGTTAAACTATGGTAACGGATGGGAGGGCCCTGGAGCTTGCCCACTTCTTTAAATAGGAGCCCGGGTTTGCATTGTGTGATACTTTTAAGATATCCCCTATCTTCATGACCTGGGGCTAGAGCAGTGCTCTTTAGGTCAGTGGGAGGGGCAGATGAACCATCTGCCTTTGTATGTTCCCAGTTTTCCCATGTTCTCTTCTAGCCAGCCACCAACTTGATGTGACCTCCTTCTCCCACAGGTGCTGTGTCTGGCAGTGGCTGTTGGCCATGTGAAGATGACAGATGATGAGCTTGTGTACAACATTCACTTAGCTGTCAATTTCCTGGTGTCACTGCTGAAAAAGAACTGGCAGAACGTTCGGGCTTTGTACATCAAGAGCACCATGGGCAAGCCCCAGCGCCTGTATTAAGGCACAACTTAATAAACCATACTGCTACCATTAGCTGTGTCTACCTGTGACTGGGGGGAGGCAGGTGCTTCGTAAGTTGATATTGCATGCCACAGCACAGTGATGGGTTGCATTTTACCCATACTATAAACCAGGAAAGAGATTCTTACTGTCCTCAAAACTGCAGTCTTATTCCAACCTCAGATGTTTATAACTTGTGACAGTACAATTGTTAATCAGGACTGAAGCTTTTCTAATAACTCAGGGGCAGGACTCCAGCCTGCATGCCCCTGGTGCTTAGTGAAGTGGCTTCACACTGGGGATATTGACAGCTCTCAGCAGCATGTTTAATGTATGGCATGTGTATTGGGTTCTTAATGTAAGGGTTTTTTTGTTATTTTTTTAATCCAAGTCATGCATTTGGGGTCTTGGTCTGTAGTCACAAAGTTGTTAGAAATGGAGATTGGGTTCCTAGATGCTTCTGATGGGAGTGCACAAACCATGAGTAATTGGTCTAACATTTGCTTGCCTGACCCTTAATTGAATACCCTGTGTTTAGGGTAGTGTTTTACTGTATAATATTTGTGGGAAAATACAATGTTGTAATTCATAGACCCTGCTGATCTTTTTTCAGGGGATTAATGGGTGGGATCTAGCTGTGAAAGTCTCCAGGCTCTGCCCTCTTCCCTGACCTGAGGGACTTGTGAGACAGTGCTGAGCACTGGAAAAGTCGCTTGCTACACTGGGTAACCCCTGTGACTTGAATGCCTCATTTAGCTTCAGTAAATAAAGGAATTGGGTCATCCCACTAATTTTAATAGAGCCAAAAGGCTAATTCAAAGCATAAAAATGGGCCTTTTCAAAACAAGGTTTATCTGGCCTTAAACTAAACCGTACAACACTCTCACCAAAGACCTTGAGCAGTTTGCCATTGAAGCTTTTAAAAAGTTTACAGGTAAAATAGCTACACTGGAATCAGATGAGCAGTGACTTTCGGTTTTCAGGGTAGGCCTAGTTCTTTTCTGTGGTCTATTGCAGAATTAGGAGTGGTAAAATAGGCTTGAACAATGTTCCCTTACGTAAGAAGGGGAAAACCTGGCTATAAAATTAGGACCCAATTATATTGAGGTTTTATGCATAGTAAAAATGGAAGCTTACCTAAAATTTGGCCATATTAAACATGGTTGAATAACTTTGATTTAGTAATTTCTGAAGTTTTATAATGTAATCGAGGGGTGGGGGAGCAATACTTAAATAGGTCAAGAAAACATGATTTGGTGACTAGGGGAATGCAATACAAGAGTCATGTACAAGTGCGGATATGTTTTATGTCTTGTTTTCTACCACAGAGCTGCTTACAGGGAACTGCATACGGTTAAAAACGGCCATGAGGCAAAGGCATGGAACAGGTGGGCCCCAGCTGCACCTGTGGTGGCCCCTCCTGAGGGCCTTGATGGGCACCCGGGTGCAGTCCACCTCTGAGGTAAAGACCAGAAAGACTGCACCTGCATTGGTCGTTTGTGAATAACGTCATAGTGGAGCAAAGGGTTTTGGAGGTCTCTTGTGAGCTCACATGCATGTTAAATTTGTTGGGTGCAAGACAGTCAGCCAAGTGATGGCCTGTGTGGGCTGAAGTGTTTCTCCCCCCCCCCCCCTGCGCTGCCTGAGTTTGAATTCTGGGAGCCATTTGAGCCTGTTGAGCATCTATTCTCTAAAACTGGTTTTCTGTTTGAAAGTGTGGGTGATGGTGGTACCTACCTGAAAGAGAGTAGTATCAACTTAAAAGCATTAAGTGCTTTGCATAGTACCAGGCACTTAGTACTCAAACAGCAGTGATAAAATGGTGATTTTGTATAGTCATAAACATATGACCTGGTACACAAATGTCAGTCGGGTTTAGGATGGATTGAATGGAGGCAATCCTGAGGACACCTCATTAATGTGCTGATGAACGGGGAGAACAAAATCCCTAACACCCTCTTGTCTGAAGTAAACCAAGGAACAAAATAAAAAGTTTTGGAAACTAAGGTAGGTAAATGGATATGTTTTAGAACTACATGGAAACTTGAATCTGAACCTGAATTTAAGTCAAGCCTACTCCACTTTATAAGCTTGAACCCTATATATTGGGGTAAGGGTCCTTAGAAACCAACCCTACATTAAACAAAAACCCACCACTTTGAGCTGGGCTTTGGGGAATCTGTTCAGAGACATAGTGGCTGCCCCCAAGAGGCCCGCAGCACCTCAAGAGCAAAGGAAAGTAGGCAGAATAGAAAAGTAAATGAACACGTAGGGGGACACTTTCTATTGCAAATGAGGGTTGAGCTATTTCCATCAAATCCCAGCCTGTAGTATGATAGCCCAAAGCTCAGTGTGCACCTGAGTAAGAATTCAGGGTTTAGATATCTGGGGAGCCCCAGCTTTCCAGCAGTTGTGCTACAGGGAAATGAAACCCCCAGGGCAGTGTTCTGGCTTTGACTGGAACTGACAAAAAGATATCACCCCTCCCTTTTCCCTAGAAATAATAGAACACAGAAACGGGGGCAAGAAAGCCAGAACTACAGGTCCCTTCTTTGGGCTCCAGCTTTGTTGACCTGTACAGCTTCCCACAGAACCTGACAGGAGAGCCGCTTCCCTGAGAACCCTGGGCTTTGCGCTCACAAGACCCTTCTTAGCTCCTTGAATTTTCTGCATGAGAGACCTATATTCTTAAAGTTGCCCTGGTTGGTGTGGCTCAGTGGACTTGAGTGCCGGCCTGCGAACCACAGGGTCGTTGGTTCAATTCCCAGTCAGGGCACGTGCCTGGGTTGTGGGCTAGGTCCCTAGTAGGGGGCTTGCAAGAGGCAACTGTACATTAATGTTTCTCCCTCTCACCCTTCCCCTCTGTCTAAAAACAAAACAAATAAAATCCTTTAAAAAAAAAAAAGCTATCTGAAGGCTGATAACTGCAGACCAGTGAAGGCAACAAACCCCACTTGCTGATGCTTCAAGCATAGAATAGATGTAATCACTTATTAGTACAGAGATTAGATTTTGCATCCAGCCCCAGGCCTGGCACATGGTGGGTCCTTAATAAACCAATTTGTACCTCCAGGTCCTCCTTCCACCTGCCTGGAACTCCAAGGTACCCCCCTCATTCCACCAGTTACAGTCTGGAGTCCCTCCAATGTGGTGGACCAAGACAATGGCCACCCGATTATTTAAGTAGTATACCAGGTGCATTGGACTTGGAGTCAGGCAGACCAGGTGTTGTCACTGACAGGCTGAGGGAGAAGAGTAACCTCAGGCTTTTGCATCTGCAAGACTGGAGATTAGGCCAGAACGACCTAGAAAAGTCTAGATTCTAGAGTAGGGTCACTAGATTTAGCAAATGTGAACACAGATGCCCACTTAAGTCTGAATTTCTGACAGACAATGCATGTCCACTGAGGATAGTCTCCCTGCTTATGACCCCTACTCTGTGGTCCCTGCTGTCTGTTTCTCCGGGCAGGCAGGAGCAGCGTGGAATCTGGCTTCCCCTGCCAGCAACCATCCACTTGGGACCTCATTCACTCTCCTCGAGGCTCCTTCCTCCTGAGTCAAGTGAGGGCTAGAAGGTGAGAGCAGTAGCGACACTGTGGAGACTGGGGATTTAGCAGGGGGCCCATCGCAGCAGTTGTGTGACCCTGGGCAAGTCACTTCACCGAAAGAGACAAAGCTATTCCATCCAAGCACTGGTCTCCCAAAGCACAAAAATGCCAAAGGTAGTCTTTAGTTTGAATTTTAGATCATAAGGCAAAATAAATGTCTTTTCTATTTAAAAAATTAAAAAAGAGGAAGAGACAGCAACAGAAAAGCTCTGGCAGCTCTGGGCACAGGTCAGTGCTCAGCTCACAGCTCACAGGGTTTGGAACTGAAAAGCCTTCATGGACCCAGAATCATATCTATTCTGAATGTGGTAGGACTTGGGGTACCCCAGCAAAGACAGGGCAGGGTGACACGCCAGGACCTAACCTAGAAACGCCTATCTGAAGCTGTTCCAACCCAGAGGTTTGGCACACAACCGGTCACACAACTAACCCACAAATAACTTTAATTTCTTTTTTTGAGCAGGCCTTGAGGGCGCCTGCCCCAGCCCTGCGCCACTTTTATGATATAACCCATCACAGCTGGATTTAAAAAGTACACAAAAAATATATAATATACATTATAAAACCTAGGTTGGATTTTGCAGGTGGCCTGAGTGATATGCAAACTGTGAGGACCTTCAGGAAGCTTGGAGTGGGGCGGGGCGGGGTAAGGAAGGGAAGGGCACAGTACTTCATATGAAACTCATAAATGCCTGAGGGGACTGGGTGTTGGGAAGTGGCAACAGGCAGGGTTAACCTTTAGTCTCAGAACTGGGTCGGGGGCTGCTGCTCCACGTGAGGAGACTGAGGTGAGGAAGAACACAAAGTAGTGGCACCCACTGAGGGTTCATCAAACTGTAGTCTTAGGCAAGAGAAAATATCAAAGCCTTTGCTGCCCTTGTCCCTGGGCCACAGGTCTGCCCAGAGGCCAGGCCTCTGTCTTCCTATCTGACCCTCCAGCCTATTTCTGAGCCTCGGCCTACCAGGCCCTCCCCCGCACCAGGAGGCTGCCAGAGGGTGTGGTGAAGGATCTGGGCCAGGGAGCCTTGAGGGAGGTTGGGCAGGAGGCTCCCCCAGCCCCGTGGCTGGATTGCAGGCTGACAGAGGGTGCTCAACATGTGCCAAGTACCCGCTGCTCCTCTTTCATGCCTGGTCAGAAGCAGCCGCTCCTCCTGCCAGGAGGCCCCCAACCCAGTGGCCCCTCTCCCCGACCCTCTGGGGCTGGCCTGCTGCAGGCAGGCAGTGTAAACCTGGGCTCTGGGGACAGGCAGCCCTGGGCTGGAACTACAGCTCTGCCCACCACCCCAGTTTCTCATTTGCAACACCCAGAGACCCACGCTTGCAGGGTCTGAGGATGCACCAGGCACACAGGGGGCCTGTCACAAAGCAGGTGCAAAGAGAATTTGGACCCCTCTGTTCTTCTCAACCCAACCCCGCCTCCATACTCCTTCCCGGCCTCCGTGCTCCGCCGCCCCCACAGTCTTCCCTCACACACCCGTCACACTGCCCTGAGGTGCCAGTGGCCACGCACACTGAGCCCAAAGGCGTCCTCCCATTCATGTGAGTCTGGGCAGAACTGGGTGATGGTCCTGGCGTCCCAGCCAGGCTGCTCCACCTCTGAGCTCCCCTCTCTTCTCCCATAATTAAAGTGCAGAACAGTGGCAGGGAGTGTGTGTGCTGGGGGTAGGTGGGGAGGCCTCCTGGGTCCTGGTCCTGAGACCTGGCAGGCAGATGAATTCTCAGTCCTGGACCCCCAGGCATGCCAGGCAGATGTGTGGAAAAGATGTTTGTCCTGCATCCTGGTGGTGGGGGCAGAGGGCACCCTAGTCTTTGACGAGCTTGTAGACGTGGTGCTGGGCCCCGTGATCGCTGGTGGAGACTTCGAAGACAAAAGCAATAACAAGCAGGGTTTCCTGGGAGTCTCGGCTCGTGACCACCTGGGGGCCGGGCAGGAAGGTTCAGGAGGTCAGGCAGCACAGGGCCTTGGGGTGCAGGGGCTGAGCAGACCCTGCTTCCCTCTCCGGCTCAGTCTCTTTCTCTGAGCAATAGGTCTGGCCACCTCCACTTTCAGGCCTCTGCGCCTGGCATCCTCCGGGGACCCCGACAACCCTTGCATCTCCCCTCACCTGCAGGATGGTGAAGTTCTCCAGGACACTGTTCATCATGTACTTCTCGGGCAGGTGTTTCAGCTTGTGGATGAAGTTGATCATGTACTCACACATGGGTGAGCGGTGGATGCGGTACACGAAGCGCCCATTCTCTAGCCTTGCATACTCGGTCTGCAGAGAGCCGCGGGAAGGCGGAAGGCATCACTCAGCTGGCCGGCTCCTGGCCCCTGCCACGCCTCCCCCATGCCCCCAGGTCCTCACTCACCTCCACCTTCTCCACCACCTGCTTGCCAAAGGAGCACACCTTGGTGGAGACACTGATGGTCATGCTATCGGCCGAGCTGTACTGGGAGCTGACCCCATAGAAGGCTCCCGGGCCCTCCTGGATGGTGCTGTTAAGGTCGGCCTGGAGGAGGGCGCGGGGTGGCATTAGCAGCTGGAGGCCAGACGGAGGCATCCTGCTGTGCCACATCATAGCCCTGCCCAAGCACCCACCTCCCACACTGCCCACAGGCCACGGGGAGAGAGGTGGTCAGTAGGGTGGGCCTGAGTGGACTGCACATTCTCGGGGAGGGCTGTTAGGAGCAGGGAGGGGCCAGGGCAGCTCACCCAGAACTTGACGAGGAAGAAAGCATTAGGGGGCCCCTTCTCATAGAGCTCCTTCAGTCCACCCTTTTTCTCAGGGAACTTGTCGTAGATCTGACGCACATCGACTGCCTCCAGGGGTGGGTCGGAGAAGGCGGGGTTCGTCTGGCCGATGTGCACAAACAGGTGTTTGCTGTACTGTGGGGAAGGCCCAGCAACGGGTCAGGAGGCACCCGAGAGCACAGGCCTTGGGTAGGGGGGCTGCACAGGGACAGAAGTGTCCTATGCTTTCCCACCTGGTAACCCTGAGCAGTGCCTTGGACCACCGTGCTGGGGTCTCCCCCGACCCCTGAACACATTACCGTGTCAGGGTCTCGTTGCACCTCCATGAAGGCGGAATACTCGAGGAGCCGCAGCCGGGAAGAGGCGATGGTGCGATCCTGCCACACGGGCACAGAGGCAGCAGCCGGGGGGAGCGGGGCCAGGGGCTCATAACCTGGGGGAAGAGATGGGCCCTCAATGCCAAGGGTGTGCGCACGTTTATGTACAGATCTGCCCCTACCGGCGCAGAGCCTCTGTGCGAATTAGAAAATGGCGGCCCTTTTGGGTAGGAACCCAGGCTGGATTTTGACTCCCTGGCCAGGTGTCCTTGTACAGTGTACAACCTGGGTGGCTATGTGTGGTGGCCCTAGTAGTATATACCAGTGGGTTTTTTCCTTTGTCACTGTTCATGTGTGTTCTAACAGAAAATACAAATAATTCAAAAGGGAAAAATAAAATTATGTGGAATCCCAACACCTAGAAAGAGTGAAGCTCTGTTAAGACATTGGTGTATTTTCTTATAAGGAATTTTATATGCATACAACCTGTAAGTGTAATGCTGTTGGTTGGTGGTGTACTTGTAGCAGAGTTGTGGAAACAACACTGTATAAGGTGAGGGGGCTATTCCTGGTCTGCCCCATCCCTCCAGATGCACCCCTCCCCCTCCCTGTGTGTGTATGTGCACACAAACACAGCGGGGGCCCAGCTCTTCTGAGCAGAGGTGCAGGTGCCGGGGAGGGACAGGTGGTGGTGGCAGCCTCATGGGGAACTTACTGCTGAGCGTCGATGGCAGGGGCGGCTGGATGGGGTAGGCTGGCTGTGCAAAGGGCTTGATGCTGCAGACAGGAGCACAGCCTGGTTAGAGGGTCACCCCCTTACCCACCTTCCATCTGGCCTAGTCACTTGGGGTCTCATTTGGGATCCCAACAGGGAGCACCCACCCAGCCTTTCTGTGGAGGCCCAGAAATGCATGCGGACAAGATTTTGTTTCTTTCACATTTTAACTTTTGTGAAATCCTGCTGCATCTCACAATTGATATGCATATTTATTATATTTAAAAAAATATTTTATTTATTTATTTTTAGACAGAGGGGAAGGGAGGAGAAAGGGAGAGAAACATCAACGTGTGGTTGCCTCTCGCGTGCCCCCCACTTGGGACCTGGCCCACAACCCAGGCATGTGCCCTGACTGGGAATCTAACCGCGACTTTGGTTCACAGGCCGGTGCTCAATCCAGAGCCACACCAGCCAGGGCTGATGTGCATATTTAATATAGCATTTCAACCCCACCCTGAAGAGCTGTTCTTAAACAGAAGGTGTGTCTCTAGAAGAAAGTCATCTTAGAATTGAAGGAACCAAGTACACTTGACTACTTGACTCGTTGACTGAGAGATGAATTCAGAGATTAACTGAGTGAAAAATAATTGAAGGATGGATAACAAGTGGATGAGTGGGTTGATGAATCAACCAACACATGAATGAACAGACAAGTGCATTCACTGTCTTACTGGCGCTCTCCATCCCTCTGTTTTTGAATTAAAACTTTGGTCAGCTGCTGCCAGAACCCAGATGGGAGGGGAAGCCTAGTGTGGTTGCCAAGGGAAAGGAGAGGGTGCAGGGAGGATGTTCCACAATACTCACTCCTGAGAGGGTCCAGGCTGCTGTCCCAGGAGAGGGGGGCTGCTCCAGAACTGCAGAGATGGGACAAAGCCCAGGGGCCCTTCAGTATCTGTGACCCTCACCACAGCCTGGCCCTGTAGGCAGTTCCTCACCCCAGCCCCACCTCCCAGGACCCCTGTACCCGTGAGGAGGTGGAGAAGACGGCCTGAGGCAGAGGGGAGGGTGGGCTGAACTTGTTCTGTAGGACACTGGCGGAGACAATCTGGGCAGAGGACATGGACGCCATGCTCTGGAGGGCTTTGTCCTTGGAGACTTGGTCCTGGCGAGAGGAGGGGCCCTGTGAGGCCGAGGCCCAGGCCAGGCCAGAGACAGGACCAAGGCTTGCCTCAGGGCCCCTCCCCGGCTCTCAGGGCCCCGGGAGCCCGGCCGGATCACAGCCCCGGCTCGGCTGTGCAGGCGAAGGAGAGCCTCTGCCCCTCTCCCAGCCTGTCTCCAAAGGGTACTTCACTCCTCTAACCACAGCCCACAGTAAGGAATAATTTTATTTTATTCCATAACCCGGTATATACCAAAATGTTTCCCCTTATCTGTGTCATGCAGTGTCATGTTTTCTATTCTTTTTCATCAATGGTTCTCAAAGTATGGTCCCTGGACCAATAGCACCAGCATCACCTGAAAGCTTGTTAGAAATGCATGTTCTCAGGCCCTGGCTCCAACCCACTGAATCAGAAGCTCTGGGGGTGAGGCCCAGAAATCTGTCTTCGCAAGCAGGTGATCCTGAGGCATGCTAAAGTGTGAGGGCCACTATACTGCATTTAAAAAAAATTCTGTTTGCAAACCTGTTAAATTGATTTACAATCCATAATTTGAAAATCCTGTATTAGGTGCTCTCCCCTCAACTCCCCCTGAGGGAGGGGCAGTGCTACTTACCAGGTTCATGGCCTGTGAAGGAGAGGGAGGGCGGATTAGAAGAGGTGCAGATGAAGGGCACATGATGTGGGGCTTGTGTCTTTTCACCTCCCTCCACTCAACCCCCTCCTGGCTCTCGGCTTCCTAGGAGCCCAGGGAAGCTCAGAGGCGGCTGTGGACCTTCCTCCCGCCCCACTGCCACCCAGAAGGAGGGCTTGCCAGCCGAGGGTGCCCTGGACAGGGTAGGATGACAGAGGACAGGTGACCCTTGGGTCTGTGCACGTCCTCTGGAGCTGTGCTATGGGGCCCAGTCTGCCGGGCAGCTATGGGCAGAGAGAAGGAGATGCAGCCTCCAGGGGCCCTGAAAAGGGCCCACGCCATCGGGGTCCTCAAGGACGGAGCAGCCAGGATTGGTGTGCAATGCAAGGAACAGCCATGCCCACCACAATAGCTCGGCCAGCCAGTACCCTCCAGTGTCTCTTCCCTGCCCACCTGAAGTTCCCATGCAATCAGCAAGCAGCAATTAGGAGGAAGGTGAAAACGGAAAATGGCGAAGAAGAGAGGTGGGCCTCAGTGGCCCTCAAACGGTCTTCCTCTCCCTCACTGTAAGGCTGGCTGTCCCCTTGGGCTCCTGCTCAGTCTCTAAAGGCCTACAGTAGCCTTTGGGCTTCTTGCGGCTGCTTGTATTTCAGAGACCCCCTCCACTTTCAATAGCTCCTCAGCCCCTTCCCTGCCCTGAGCTGGGGTCAGAGAGCGGCAACAGGCCTGGCTGGGCCAGGCCAAGTGGCAAGGGACCCCATACCTTTAGCTTGGACTGAATCTCCCGAGATTTCCGCCTGGCTAGAACCTGCAAGTGGCTAGAGACCTGTAGAGAGAGGGGGGGAGGGGAGGGAGAAAGGAAGACAAAGAGCAGAAAGAGTGGAAAAAGAGGCAGGAACAGAGCTTCAGCCAGAACAGAGGCACAGTGGGGCCTGAGAGCTGGCCAAGGCCAGGCCTGAGCCGTGCAGAGATAGCAGTGAAGTTGCTGTGCATAAGGGGCCCAGTTGGGGCTGGAGGCCCCAGTCAGGCACCCAACATACCTTGATGCCAACCTGGTACTCCCGCACCTTCTTCCGAGCTAGAACCTGTATGTGGCTGGACACCTAGGGGCCGCCCCGCGCCCAGCCAAAGAGGAAAACACAGACAGTGAGGAGGCACAGCATGGGCGGCCACCGGCAAGGAGCATCCCAGCCCTCGTCTCGGGGAAGAAACGTAAGAGGGGGAAGTCTGGGGCCCTGTGGGTAGACACTCTGCAGCCCTGACAATTCTGCTTTCCTTTTGGCCCTGTTTTCATCACAAGCCTCCAGTGAATTCCAGGACCACCACATAGAGCTGTGCAGGTGGTTCACCACACAAGAGCGCCGGCCCGGTGAGAGCTAAATCCAGGCCAAGTTCTGCTGGCCGAGCGACGTGCCCTGGTGTGGGACTGCATCTAACCCAGAGGAAGACTATGAGTATCTGTTTATTTTTCCCCAAAGGCGTGGCGTTTTCTCACTGGTATCCTCACAGGAGACAGCTTTTTCTAACTGCCATCACAGAGGCTAGCAATGGCCATGACGTTCCTGCTGGCCGTTAGATTATATATCAGGCCATATTTTCTATTTCCTATGCCTCCCTGTCACCCCAACAGCTGTGGCCTATAAACCAGGCCTGTGCTACTCCTGCTCCGCTCATGCAGCTTCTTCCCCCAGCGTGCCTCCTTTCACCCTGGACTAGTAAATGGCAGTAAACATACACACACACAGTAGGTGCTCTTCATTGCATTTTTTTCTGCAGCACCTCCTCCCTGAAGCCTCCCTCTCTGGCAAACCTGAGCTAATCACAGCCAGGGTGTGTGTGCCATGGGCTCGCACAACAGACACTTGGCATCGTCCAGGATCCGACACTGAGCCTCGGGAGAGCCTGAGGCACCGTTTCTCCCCTGAAACACAGGGCTGCTCTGGGCTGCTTCACACTTTCATTACCAGCAATTACTATTGGCTTTCTTTGCAAGTTGTCCATATCCCCATAAAAACAGTCTTTTTCTTTTTAATCATAGACTAAAAGTTACCAAGTATGTGATGCTGGGCAGCCCCCATACTACTCGGTTAGGACCCAGGTGGGTGTTCCTCATGCCACCTCATTCGCGTGACACTGCAGGGGAGTCGGACACAGGTCCAGCGAGATTACCGACCATTCAGGTCCTGACAGGAACTGCCGTTCCCGGAGCACACCTCCTGCCACCCTCAGCGCTCACCCACACCAACTCATCTCACCTTTACAGCAACACGAGGAAGGCGATACCAAAGCACAGGCGGGTGAAGCCGCCTGTCCAAGGTCACACAGCTGGAGGCTGGAGCTGGGAATCGAACCCAGGTGGTCTGACTCGAGAGCCCACTTGCTTCCCCACCAGGCTCTGCTACCTGGACTCTTTGAGACCCTTACCACAGAGCACCATCTCCAAATGCTCAACTCGGTGACAGGTGAAAGCCACAGAGGACTTAATCCTAATGTCACATTTAGCTGTCTTTTTTCAATATGAAGGCATTGTACTTACTACTAATGGCTGTAAGTATCTACAAAAAATTTAAAACTATATTGTTTAAACCAAAACACCACAACAACCTTGCTGGTAGCTGCCTGCTCTTTGAGATACATGAAGACATGGCTCATTCTCACAGCCACAGGAAGGGTCCCCTTCTAAGGAGGTATTAGATGTCAGAGTTCTAAGAAAAAATGAAGAGGTGTGCCTTCCGTGCAAAATGACAAAGGTCGGCAGTTTTTAAAATTCTGAGCTGGCTGACAGCTGGTTTTATTATTATTGTTTTATAATTTTATTTTATTATAAAAATAAAACCTCATTGACCAGCCAGCCTTCACAGGACACCCAGCCAGGAGCAGGTTTACTGCTGAGCCCAGAATGAAGAGGTTCTGCTACCCTCCCTGGGCCTCGGGTCAAGGTGACAGGTCGTAAAGATCCCTCAGCCCTTTCCCACTCTGACAAAGGTTCCTACAAACACATCTGGGTGGAGCAGGACACTGAGACAGTGTCTGCTCTTGCATATGGGATGGCTTTCTGTTTATAACGACAGCAATAATAACAGCAACAGCAGTGGCAAATTCTTATACAGAGCTTCCTCTGCCCTAAGTGTCTTCACTTATTAGCTAACTTAATGGCTGCAGGACAGAGGCTGGAGGCAAAGCACCCTCTCCCCGCAGGTAGGGAGCAGGTATTTAAGCTCGAGGGTCTGACTGGTCGATGCTCCTCCTGGAGTCCCAGGCTCCGGGGAACAGGGCCCTTGACTGTCTGGTTCCCTGTCGCATCCCCAGTGCCTGGAACATCGTGATGGCTCAAGACTTTGCTAAATAAATAAATGCTGTGCGAGGAAAGTGGTTCATAAATGCTTGAACAAACAAGGGGGCATCTCGGCTCCCTCACGGGGTGGGTGGAGACTCACAATCTTTCTTTGAGACCGTGGGTAGGATGGGTCAGGCCTGTCATGTGCCCACAGGGGGATCTGGGGAGGTGGATGCAAGGTCCGAACCCCATCCAGACCCCAGGGAGGGCGGGAGGGCCGAGGGGCAGCAGCGGCCTCCACTCCTCCAGGCACCTGCCTCCAGCCTGCCTCTCTCCCAGGCACCCCACAGGCAACGCCCCCAGCAGCTCCCTCCAGGCTTCCTGTCACCACACTGCTACCCTGCCTGGACGGCCAGCCACCCAATCATCTCTCAAGTCACCCACTACCCTCACCATGGCCGCTACCCAGGCCACCACTGCTGCTGATCTAGGTGCCTACCTCTGCCTGGCCCTAACCCGTTGCCCCACTGCTCCAGGGCCACCATTCCTGCCACCTGCCACCATGGACCCCCGCTGCCCCCAGAAGAAACCTTTCCTTCAGGCCTCCATCCGAATCCTTCCCCACGGGCCCTCAGCTCTTCCTATCCTTCCCCACCATTGCCCTCCCCCCGGCACCGCCACCGCCAACCTACCCTGCGGACTGAAGGCTCTTTCCTGCCTAGTGGGCTGAATCCTGGATCCACCAACTACCAGCCAAGCAACCCTGAGGAAGTTACTCAAAACTCCCCATGCCTCTGTTTCCTCATCTGTAAAATGAAGATAATTACTGTACCTATCTTGTATGGTTGCTGTGACCAAATTTATTTGTTGACCAAATAAATTAACATCAAGTTAACTCTGTAAGAGTCACAATTATTATTTGTATATCCAACTTCCTCAGCCTTGAAGAATCCTCTACCTTCTTTCTGCCTGGCTAAATCCTATTCCTCCTTAAAAAGGCATCTCGAGTGTCCTCTCCTTTAGGAAGTTTGCCTAGCTCTCCCTCCTCTCTTCCCCTGCCTGGTCCAGGTTAGATGCTTGTCCAACAGCGGGCACCCAGCCCTATCTCAGCCGCGCCGCCTGGCTCTGCACTCGTCCATCCACCCGTCTGTCTCCAGGACTGGCCAGGGACCACGCAGCTGCCACAGCTGCCCGGTGGGGCTTATCTGTGGCCACCGAACCCAAGGCCTTGGGCGGGGTGTTGGGTGGTCAGAGAGATGAAGCCGCCAGAGGGGCTGTGAAGTCACAAGGAGAGAGCAGGGCGGTAGGATAGGTTGGGACGGGAAGGGGCTGAGAGTATGTGCGCGCAGAGGGGCCCCAACATCAGCTGTCCCTTTACCTGCTTTCTCGTCCGCGTCTTTCCCGTCCTCAATTTAATATAGCGCGCTATCAACTCATTCCGACCTAGATTGGGTGAAAGAAAAAATGAGGAGCTTGTGGCTGGAGGCTGGAAACCACACCAGGTCCCTCCCCATCCTCTGCGCTCCTGCACCCACCCTCAGGGGCACAAGCAAGGCAGCCTAGGGTGCGGGGCAAGTCCCCAGGGCTCCTCCCACCACCTCCAGGACCTGGGGGCCACTCAGTGGTGGGGGTAGGGGCAGCAGAGGAACAATGTCAGGCAGCCAGGCAGCCCCGACAGGTTTCCCTGCGGAGAGACAGGGGCAGGTGTAGCCCAAGGGCAGCAGGACAGCTGGGCCCCTCACCCCCAGCCGCCAGCAGTGCTTCCTTTCTCCAGAGCCTGTCACCTGCGACAGATCTCTTAAGGGTATGTACTGCTGTGTAACTGAGGCCTGGCCCACTCTCTCGATGTCTCGGTGAACGTTGCTGTACTGTATGTGAAGAGCTCTGGACTGGGCTCCTGTCCTAGCTGTCCTTGCATGATGGCAGACCCTGGGCAAGTCCCTTCCTTTCTCTGGTAAAACAGGCATGAAGGACTGGGTGTTCTCCAATAGACCTCCTACACTGATAGCTTGTATCAAGATGTGTCACCGAGCATGTCACTGTGTCCTTGAGCCTGTCAGCCCTGTATCACTGGTTACCAGTGTCTTTCCCACCCTGTGAGAGACGGCCCAACTGCTGTCAGCCTTGGGGTGGGGGGACTGCTCAGCACCATGGACCCTCTGATGGTCCAGAAGCTGTCTAGTGTCCAGAGGCTTCGTCCTGGGAGAGGGGAGCGTGGGGCATGTGGCTTAATGTATGTCAGCATCCTCAGGGTGTATACCTCTTACCCCCCAAGCCCAGGCTCCCTACCCCCTAACCTCACAGCCTCCCCAGAATGGCCGCATTCTCCAAATTCTTCTCTGATGACAGAACCGGCCCCACTGCTCCTCCCTTCCTGCCTGCCCCTCTCCACCCCACTCCCTCCACTCCATCTAAAAATACCTGTGGGGCTGGCCCCGCCATCTGGGAGGTGGCAGCGGGGGCAGGCAGCTTTTGCCCTATGGAAGGTGCCCTGGAACATCTGCCAGCCCCATGAGTGGCACCCTGGTGCTGGGGTGGGCGTGGCAAGTGGGTGGGGCAAGAGACAGGGAGCAGCCCTTAGCCCTGGCCCAGCTGCCTCCCGCCTGCACCGCCTGGGTTCTGGGTGCTGGGAGGGGACAGGCTGAGGGCCTGCCTCACTCAGTCATCAGCTCTCAGGGAGGGTTGGAGGCAGCTGGCAAAGAGCCAGGCTGAGAAGGGCTGAGCTATCCCAAAAATGCAGCTCTGGGAGAGCCCTCTGAGCGCTGGACAAGAGGGGACACTCCCCTCTGGAGGCAGGAGGTGGGCAAGGTGGCAAACAAAGGGGCCAGGAAAGGAGGGACGACTTGGGAGGTGGTCTGAGGAATGAACAAGCCTCTCCCCGCTCTTCCCAACACAGGCCCTTGTCACTATAGCTTCCCACCACCCTGCAGGCCTCCCCTGCCCATAGCCTCCCGGGGCCTCACCCCTCGGGCTGCCCCCACCCTCCCCGGGGAGGGACCCTTTCCCAGGCCTAGCCTGGAGCAGACTGACCCAGTTTCCTGGGCCAACTGAGTCACCCCCAAACCTCCAGGCCAAGAGTGAGGAGAAGAGATGCAGATGGGGGAGTCAAGGTGTGGGCCAGGCTCTGGTGGAGGGGGCAGGCCTGGCTTGTTTATGAGGAAGATCCAGACACACAGGCTTGCACGCACAGACTCGCCCATGGCCCCATGGCGGGCTGGCAGCCTTAGGACTTGGCCAAACCGGTTGGGTGAGGGGGCAGAGAGCAGGGGGAGGGGCCGGGGAGAGCCAAGCCGCCTCCCCCAGTCCTGTCCAGCGTCCCTGCGCCTCCCCACACGCACCGTACATCTTGCCCTCGTCCGACAGGATGATCTTGCGGCGGCCGCAGGGTGGGTAGATGGCCAGGGCCTCCTGGAAGCTCTGCTCGATGTCTGGGCTCCACACCCCCTCCGCATCGTTGTCCAGCCCCTTGTCCAGGCCCTCGGGCCCATCCTCCCGGGCCTCCCCGGGGCTGCTGCTGGTGTTCCAGCTGTTGGACGCTATTGTGCTGGTTACTCTGGGCTCTGGGCCTGAGCCCGCTGGGCAGCCTGAGCCTGGCGGACAGACACAGAGGGGTGAGGGCCAGGGTCCTCCCAGGCCACAGCAATCTCCCACCCTAGGGGCAGGTGTTCTGGCCGAGGTGGACGTGACCAGAGGTTCTGCTCATTCAGTGCTATGTGACCTTGGATGAATTACTTCACCTGTTCGATCCTTGGTCTGTTGAAATTAGGTAAGGGTCTCCTTGAGGTTGTGAGGGTTAAAATTAAATGAGATCATGACTAGTGCCAACCACAATGCCTGACTCAGAACACTCATGACAGTACTGGTGGTGATCAATAACAATAGCAGTAACGCCCCATACCTACACAGCGCTTCTGTTGGGGTGGGTGGGAAAGCACTTTCCTATTCATTCAGTCCTCAGATCTAAGGCTGGGAGGGCGAGGAGTGATGCCCGTTATTTAGGTGAGGAAAACTGAAGCTCCCAAGGTCACGCAGCTGTCAAAGGCAGCATGGAGCAGTGGGGGGAGGGTCGTGAGGGGCAGGGCCCTCATGTCTGGAGCTCTCAGAGCTCCCGGGCTCACTCTGCCAGCTCCTCCTCCCTGTCATTGGGATCCCCAACCATGGACCCCCATCCCTTTTTCTTCCTCCAGCATCAGTACAGCTCTGATGAGTACCTGCTGTGGGATGAGAAGGGTCCCAGACCAAGGACGGGTGAGGTTCTGCCTTCCCCAGAAGATAACTCTCGAGAGTCCTGCCAAGGAACCTAACTGTGGGGCAGGAACTGCCCCAGGAATTGCAAGAGAGAGACGCTGGCTGGCAAGGGAGCAGCTGAGAAGGTGCCCGGCCAACAGCCTTGCTCAACCCCACCCGCTCTTCCATCCCACTTCCTGTTCCCGCACCTCTGGGCCTACAGCAGCCCATAAACCGCCCACATGCCCGCCCCTGCCCTGGCCCACATCGTGGACGGGACAGGGCTCTGTAAACTCTGAGTTCCCCAAGAAGCCAGGCTGGGTTATTAATTTAGACCACATCCAGCCAGTCCCCCCACCATCTGCAGCCCGAAGCCACCCCTTCCCCCACGGCCTTGGAATCTGCATGTCCAGTATATACCAGGGTCCTGGGAGCTTCAGAGCCCCAGATGGCTAGATCATGGGACTTTGCTCTGAGCTTCAGGGCAAGCAGGAGCAGGACAGAAACATGGAAGACCCCCTCGGAAATCAGGGGAAGGAATTCTTTCCCCTCAGACATAAAGTCCAGGTCCTGCCGAATAGGTGGAGGGGTCTCCCTGTGGGAACACCTGTTTGCTTAGGAAGTCTTGAAGGGGGTGGCTAGTGGAATGGGATGGGGATGGCCTGGGGGGTGGGCCTGAATGTCAGATGGATATGGAGTTTAGACTTAACGTTACTACTAATGACAGCAGCTGCCAAAAGGCAGGCGGTGTTCTGGGATATTACACACATCGACTCATTTAATTCTCACAATAGCCAGTGGAATAGATATTATTATTATTCCCACTTTACATACGAGGAAACCAATGAACAGAGAGGTTAAGCAACTTGCACAGGGACACACAGCTAGTGAGTGCTAGAGCAGGGTTGTGAACCCAGGCAATGTGGCTTTTCAGTCTTTTAAGCAAGGAGATGTGGCTGAGAAGCTCCATCACCTCTAACAAGAAAGGAAGCCAAGTTGTCATGGCAACCACCCTTAGTATGCCCTGTTGGGTCCAGACCACAGGGTCCCCCTCTGCCCTAGTGGCTGGAGCAACTTCAAGGACCCCAACACTGCTGTAGCCCTTTCGGTGAGGCCCCCAAGACCACCAGGAATATCTCTCCCATGCCAAAGGGCAGCCAGGCTGAGAGGAAGCCATGCTCCGGACCAGGGAGGGGCCACACTCCTCTACTCCACAGCCTCTCACCCCATCACCACCGTCTCCTCAATCCCCAAGGCCAAGTTCTTGGAATGTGAGGGGATAGGGACTCTGAGGGCCCCAGAGACTTCTATACTGAAGAAATTGGGATACAGGGTCTCCCCTTGGGTCTGACGCTGCCATGAGCTCTGGGAGGGGAGGCAGAAGAGGGGCTTCCGTGAGCTAAGACCACTCCCAACAGAGTCTGCAACGTATTTCCCACCAAATCCTTTCCTGTGGCCTCCCTCAGAGCAGTGGAGGCCCAACGCATGGGGGGTCCTGGCAGCCGAATTTTCAAAGCAACTTTCCTGCCTCCCCCCAAGTCCCTGTCCGCCTCCCCTCGTATCCAAGCGGTGGCCCCCCTTCTCGGGGTGATGTCAGCCCCGCCCCGCCCCCCGCAGGAGCACTGTGGCCAAATATGGCGAACACAGCAGCGCTAGGGAGCCGGGACAGACTGGGCGGGGGCGGGGCGGCCCCTGGCTGGGACCGCTGGCAGCTGGTGAGGGGGAGGGGAGCCAGGGGGTGGCCACAAGGACAGTCAAGGAGAGACGGACCACCATCGGTTCCTTCCACGGGTTCACGGGGACTTGCAAGACTCACTTTCTAGGAACACTGGTGTGGGCAGAGGCGCCAACACAGGGGTGCACAGGTGGCCCCCACGCCACACAGCCATGCACAGGAGCACAAGTGTGCAGGTATGCTGTGTCGGTGCCCGGGTGACACCCAAAGGAGAATATGTGGACCTCCAGGCTGAGGCATGCCCGTGGGCAATGGTGGGCCAGCAACCACACCAGGCTGGGGACCGAGCTGGGGTCCCATCCTCCTGCACACGCAGGAGGGGCCAGCTTGAGGAGCCTCGACTGGCTGCCCTGGTCTTCCCAGAGTTACTGCTGTGGATGATGACAGACTAGTGTGTGCCTGCCCACCTCTCCTTAGACCTCCAAAACTCTGGGACCCAACCAAGGGGTGAGGGAGGAGGCTACAGGCTACTCAGACAGCTGCAAGGCTGGACTGAGGCAAATGTGGGACTCGGGCATGGGGGAGGGGGCGGCCTCCCGAGAGAGCTGCCTGGGGAGAGAGGGCAGGCCCCCTGCGATGGAAGCCCCAGCCGAGTGTAGGGTCTCATCCCCCCTGTACAGGCAGGGGTCGGGAGCGGTGGCAAGGTCCCCACCCACACCCCCATCACCCCCTACTCTGCTGCTTGCCCAGGTGTCTAGAGCCTCTGTCTTGCTGGGCTTTGACATCAACAGGGGAGAAAGAGGAAGAGGGACCCAAGTGAGGGGAGGCGGGTGGAGCTTGAGATAGACTGGAAGGGAAAGGGAGACAGTGTCGGGTGGAGTAAAGAGAGGAGAGGGTAAAGGGGTCAGGAAGGAGAAAGATCAATAAACTCAGATAAAGAAAGCCCTGCAAGGAGGAAGAGGACAAGCCAGGAAGGGAGGAGCAGAAAGAGAGAAGAGAAACATGACAGAAAGACCCAGAGCCCAGGGCAGACCAGAAAGAAGGGAAGCCAGTGCTGGGGGCTGGGGTCAGCCACTAGGCCACGTCCGGCACCTCCCCACTCTTGTCCCATCTGCTCCTCCCACCTCCCCACAGATGACTATCTCAGTAGAGGCCTTGGGATTACAATAGGCTTTGGACCTCCTGTGGCCTCACCTACCCTTATCCTCAGTCTGACCAGCCTGAGCCTCAGGCTTCAGAAGCCAGAAGGTACCTCTGGGCGATGGAAGGGATGGGGGCTAGGAAGCTGGGTGAGCAGGCTTTGGGGCCCTAGGGGGGGCGGTAAGGGGCACCTTGCTGCCCACTCCCCACCCTGGGGCCAGGCCCACTGGAATAACTGGCTGGACCGCTCCAGAGATGGAGGCCAGAGCTGGGGCTGCTGCCCAGGCTCCAGGCTGCCACGCCCAGGACCGCCCCGCCCCCCTGACGCCTCCAGACCACCCTCCCTTTCAAGGTCGGGGGACTGGCCTTAAGGGTGGGCTCCCCCAGAGCCTCTACCATGGTGAGTGGGGAATGCAGACAAGGCAAGTCCAGGCAGATGTCCCCCCGGCCCTGGCTCTTAGTCCCTCTCCCTGTACCAGACCCCTGGGAGGGCACACTGAGCCAGGTGACCCTACTTGGTCTGTCAGCCAGCAGCTGTCCACTCTTGCAGGGATCCCAGCCCCTCAAAGTGTGGGAAGATTAGTGAAATCAGAAGTTCCATCCCAAATCCTGCTCCAAACCTGGGCTGGGCTGGGCTGGGCTGGTCGGCCAGGGGGGTGAGGGCGGGAAGGGCAGTTGCTGAGGGCTGAGCAAACCTCCCCGCCCCCTGCCTCCCCATTTCTCCCCACCCATCCCACAGCGAGGCCAGCTGTTCTCCAGCTGCCATGGGCTCTCACCCTAGAAGTGGTCCTGCTCTGGTTGGGACCTGAGAGTGGGGAGGGCCAGGGATGGTGCCCACCTCCCCCAGCTTCCGTCCAAGGACCCCTGAGGGACCCTGCCAAGTGACCACTCCCTGCCAGGCTGGGAGGGAGTACCCTCTTCCCTGGAGTAGGGTCAGGGTTTTTGCAGGAGGAAGCAATTTGCAGAGCCAGTTGGGAGGGAGGTGGGGGGCCTCCTCCCCTCTCCCCGCTTCCCCCTCCCTCCCTCCCCCTGCTTATTAATGTGCTTTCAATTTGGGAATCAAAACTCTGTGCCCAACCCCCCGGCCCCACTACACAGGGCATGGGCTTCTCGGGGAGCAGAGGGCCTGGGGTGGTCCCCCAGGCTTCCTTCGTTAAAGCTGCTCCTCACTGTCAGCGCCGCTCCCCACCAGCAGTGGGAGGGTAGAGACTCAGAGCCCTCAAGCCACCGGCAGAGAAAAGGGTCCCAGTCCTCCCTTCACCCCCACCCTGTTCCGTCCTGTCTCATCCTGTCCCCCTCCAGCCAAGGCCTGGTATTCAAGTTTAGGGGGAACCGGGATACGCTAAAGGGGAACTTGGGAAATGGTTCCACAGCTCTCATTTCACGCGTCAGGGCCCCCCACCTCAGCCTGCCTGCACCCAGCCCCTCGTACCCTGTCATCCACTCGCTGCCACCAGTCACTCAATCAATTGCCTGACCATGCAAGTCCTAATGTCATCGTTAAACACACAGGCTGACTCCGGGCCCCTCCGCTCTCTCTTACACACACGTCCTCTTCACACTGCCCTGTACCTTCACTGTTACCTGCATCTCTTCCTTTCTGGTTTTTTAAAAAAAATTTTATTGTGATAAAATATATATAACACAGAATTGTGATTTTAACCATTTTAAAGTGCACAATTCAGTGGCATTAAGTGCTTTCCTTCTTGTTTTTAATTGTTATCTTTTTGAGGGCCCTCAAAAAGATAACATAGATGCCACATGCCTCGGGATCACAGGCCCCCCAGTTCGTCACACGGTCTCCCGCACCATGCCTGGCACAGCCCTGAAGGATGCCGCCCACACTGTCCTACCGTCCCAAACAACCCCAGATAGTGACCACCCACAGAGGCAGCCTCAGTCACACCCTGGTTCCTCTCACACGCAGAGCACATGCAGCTTCTTTCCAGCGCCCGGCTTCACCTGCACACCCTGTCTCGTGCTCAGCTCACCACAGCAGCGTCTGAGCGCGCTCACGCCGCACTGGATGTAGTCCCCCATGTCCCAGCGGTTTCCCCCTTACACACGCGCGCACCATATTGACACTACGTGTATGTATGATACATGGTGTCATATACAGTCACACTCAGACCATCAGAGTATCTATAAACCTGAGACCATCTCTGATGCTTTTCACACAGAGGTAGCATGAAAGTAGTCATGCCAAGCTATCATATGTCACAGAGAATGTTACCCATTCTACTGACACAAACAGCATCATACAATCAATCCCTGTGTCCCTCACACACGTGAAACATTAAAATCCCATCCAGTATCAGACACAGGCTCCCACTGACGGTCAAGCTGACAGTGTCTTTCAAACACATACCCCGTGTGATGGCACTCACACAGCCACACACTAAGAACATCATTCATACAGTCCCTCTCATGTATACGCAGTGTCAGTCACACACAGTGAATGTCACAGTTTCTTACACACTAAAGTTATAAAGTCACAATGTCACAATTTCTCTTGTGCATCTGTCCGGCCTCACATGCAGTCACACACACAAACTGGTTTTACCTGGTTCTCTCACACCTGCACCCACCCCACACGCAGACCCACCCACACACGGTGTCCCACTCTGTTTCTCTCACACACATCCAGCGTCACACACAGTGGCACCCCATTTCCCTCTGTCACTTCCTGTCCTCTCAGGCCTGGCAGGGAGCACAGGAAACAATCAGCACTCTAGGAAACCTCAAGGGCTGGGGCTTCAGGATCCGCAGTGATAGGCTTCTCTGGCCCCTCGCACCCTGCGTACAGCACCCTGGGGGACCCCGAGGGGACAGGCAGAGCCCTCTCCCATTCAGTATCCTCCCAGGAGGAGCAGCCCCTCTTCTGTAGACAATCCCAGCCTGGCACGATACCAGGACAGAGGGAAGGGCAGGGCAAGGCCATGGGGACAGAGCTGGGATCATCTGCTGACCTCTGCTCCAGCTCTGACCAGGGAAGCCCCTGCAATGGCCCCGGGGCTGCCCCAGAGGTCCATGAAGACCCGGGTCCTCAAGGCCACCTGGGACCTCACAGCTTCTGGAGCCTCCATGTGGGAAGAAGAGAGGGTAACCCCCAAGCCACCTCCACAGAAAGCTGCAGTATTTAGAGCGATCATGATCCCCAGCCCCTTGGGGCCTGGCACTACCAGCACCCTTCCCCACCCTCCTCACTGGGAGCCGAAGCCTCTGCTCCTCTCCTCTCCCTGAACGAGGAGATGGGCAGCACTGAGAGTTCTGGTGCCCTTCCAGCTTGGTATCGAGCCCCTAGAGGGGCCCGGGAGTAAGACGGGGGGCCTGCCATCCAAGTGGCCTCTGAACATCATTCATCCCAACCAGCTTGCCAGACCCCATTGCCACTTCAGAGGGCAAGTTCCCCCTACTCCACCTGGGCTCTCTGGCCCTCAGCCCCTGCTGCCTGAAACTTTGTAGCCATGCTCACATGGTTTAGCTACTCCTCTGTCACCTCCTCATTTGTCTGCACCTTGTTCCTTACACCATTGGATCACCCACTCATCTCTCCAGACCCCAAAACGTTCAGGTTCCATAATGGGAAGCAAAGCAAGGCTGGCTGACTAGGAGAGAGAGACTCCAGGAGAGGCCTGGAGAAAAGCAACCTAAGTCACTTATTTTAAGCAGGGAAACTGAGGCCCCAAGAGGCCCACCACGATGACACAACTGTTAAAGTCCAGCTGGGACCTGGCTGGTGGGCTCATTGGATAGAGTGCTGGCCCGCAAACCAAAAGGTCGCCTGTGTGATCCCCAGTCAGGGCATAGCCTGAGTTGCAGGCTGGGTCCCTAGTTGGGGACATGCGAGAGGCAACTGATTGATGTATCTCTCACACATCAATGTTTCTCTCCCTCTCTTTCTCCCTCCCTTCCCCCTCTTTAAAAATATATAAATAGCCCTGACTGGTGTGGCTCAGTGGATTGAGCGCCAGCCTGTGAATCAAAGTGTTGCCAGTTTGATTACCAGTTCAGGGCACATGCCAGGATTGCAGGCCAGGTCCCTGGTTGGGGGCACATGAGATGCAACCACACATTGATGTTTCTCTCCCTCTCTTTCTCTCTCCCTTCCCCTCTCTAAAAATAAATAAGTAAAATCTTTAAAAAATATATATATGTATACACACATTAAGGTTATATATATATAAAATCTAAAAAAAAAAAAAAAAAGCCCAGGTGGGAGCAGCCACTTAATTTCTTGACCTACTATGTTGAGGTGTTTCCTTCTAGTTTTAGTATTTCCTCAACTGGCAGAAAGTATCAGGCTCTGGTACATTCTGAGGGTGAGGGCAGGAGCAGGTTCGGGGAGAGACAGGCAGACACACACACAGCCTGGTCCTGCCAATCACTGACCATCTTAGTCAGTCATTCTACAGCCCAAATGCATTAATTAACATTAATTATTGTTCCCTCCCTCAGGGGCTAGGGGAAGGCCCAAGAAGTTGGACTCCCATTGGCTCTGAGCTTCTCTCTGAGGGGGCATCCAGGACCCAGGAAGTCTTTCTCACCAGAAGCCTAGTTCCTAGAAGATATATCTGTCCATCCTCTTCCCACAGAGTAAGCAGGGATCCAGACGTCCACAGAGTGTCATGGGATGACTGACACCCCTTGGAAAAGGAACTACAAAAATCTGGAGGAGAGGATGACATAATTCTCTCAAATCTCCAACTTTTTTTTGGAGATTTTGGATTTCCCTCCTTGCCCCAGGCTGCCCCAGCATTTCGGCAGGAAAGTGTCTGCCCTGGGGTGGAACATGTGCATACAGAACCAGGCACCGGAGACAGGACACAGAGCCGCCTGGGCACCAGCCCCTCGGGGCTGGGTCCAGCTCCCACCCCTATCCCCTGATCTCCTGGGCTACAAGTCCAGGCCTGACCTGGCTCTGCCTGTAGCTGGAAAGGGGGTTAGACAGAGGGATGTGCCCCCTGAGAAGCCCTCCCCCAGCGCCTCATTCTCACTTGTTCGGAAAAAATCTCTCAGCCCTGGATCAGGGCCCCTCTCCTAGGAAGGTGACAGAGTGGGGTTTCAATGTCAGTGTCTGTCTAGGGTGGAAATCAGATGCAGGGAGGCAGTCCCGGCCTTCCCTCCCCAGGCAGGAATAAAGGGCATGACAGACAATGGTGATGGTGGTGATGGTGGTCAGGACAAGCTGCCTTCACACCTAAAATCTAAACAAGGGCTCTGAGGAAGTGTGGCTAATAGAAGGCCCCAAATCCAGCCACCTCTGGAGCGGGGCTCACAGCGTTCAGGACAGCAACTCAGAACCTCCACCCCAACACAGGCGGCAGAACTGGAGAGAACCTAAGGCCCTGCGTCTCAGGGGGCACACAACCAGGGCATGCAGTTTTGCTCCCAGGCACCTTCCACAGTCCAGCCCAACCACGGACACCGCGCGCAGGAGCCGGAATGGGTGCCGGGAAGCCGGGCCCAGGGCCCGCGGCCTGCGTGAAGCTGGGGCCGGGCGGGCTCCGGGAGAGCGCGAGCCTGGAGTCCAAAGGGCGGCGAGGCCCGGGACTGGGCGTCCTGGGTACGAGCGCCTCCGTGGCAGCCCTTCCAACCATGCGGCCCCTGGACCTCTGCCTTGACACCCCGAAGAGGGACGCTGGGACAGCCGATGGCACCGGGGGCGATCTCCCGGCGCCCCTACCTTCCCGGACCAACTCGTCCGGGTCGCTGCGGGGTGGTAGGGGTGGGCGGGGCTTCCCGGAGAGCTGACCGCCCCCCCTTCCTCTAAACTGTCCGGCACCCAAATCTGGGGTTCCGTCTTAGGCTGGAAAATAGTTCGGGGAGCCAGTCTCCCTCGAGCACCCCCCGCCCTATCCTCAATTTCCCAACTAGCCAACCAAACCACCTCTCCCAGCAGGGCCTCTTCCCGGTGTCCGCCCGGCTTACCTGGTCCAAGCTTGCTAGGGCGCTCCGGTCGGGCCACTCCGCCGGGCCCGAGGGAGCTGAGAGGGGGACCAGGGAAGGGGGGTCGTGGGGAAGGGGGCTGGCCTGAACGTGCGGAACAAGCCGCGTTGGAGCGGGAGGCGCCGAGCGCGCAGGAGGCAGCGAGCTGGACGGAAAGTTTGTGTTGAGGAGCCCGGCTGGGGGTAGGGGCTGCGGGGAAGGAGGGGGCGGGGCGCGCAGGGGGACGGGCACCGGTCGGGAGGGGCGTGGCTACGCCGGCCCGCCCCCTCCGGGCGCTCCAGCTGCCCACCCCCCGGGCTTCGCTACCCAAGACCACTCCGGCCTCCGTGCGCCCTGGCGCCCCGTTCCTCGCCCGGGGGTGCGACGTTCCCAACTTCCCTGAAGTTCGGGCCTAAACCCAGTGCCCCACCGGAATTTGGGGCTTTGGCCTGGTCGGGGCCGAGGGCGGAACTCCCGCCTCGAGAACCGGCTCCCGTCGGTGTCCGGGCCCGGGTGCGGCGTCACGAAGAGCCCCGCACAGCCTGAGCACACGGGCCTCCGGGTTCCCTACCCGCCCCCCGCCCCCACTCCAGAGCCGCCGAGGCGGAGCCCCTTCTCCCGACTGAGTGCCCGGCTCCCCCTCCGGGGCCCAGACCCGACCCCGCCCTGGCGGCTGCGCCCGCCCCGCCCGGACCTGGTTTGTCTGGTTCTCCCCGAGAGGCTTGTTTCTTGAATTTCTCCTTTCCCCCTCTTCCCGGACCTCCGGGGCCCTCTCTCCGCCCGGCTCTCCGGGGCCCCCGCGGGGGGCGTCCTGATACGGCGAGGTCGCCGAGTTTCGGTAGGTGGGTGCGGGGGAGGGAACGCGGGAGCGCCCGGGGCCAGGGCGGGAGCGGAGGAGGGTGGCCTCCAGCCCGCCCTCCGGACCCCATCCGCCACCTCGTCGTTCGCACGCGCTGAAGAACCACAGCTCCGCTAGGCCTGGGACGCAGCTTTATTGGGGATGTGCCTGCCCGCCCCTTGTCCTCCCTCACCTGCCCCACTTCTCCGAGCCTCCCAGTTCCTCAGAGCCGTGACACGGCCCCAGAATGGGTTAAAACAACACGGACTACTGATTCTGGACAGGAAGTGACTGGGGCGGGGGTTGGGGGGGGGTGCGTGCGTGTGTGTGTGTGTGCGTGCGTGTGCGTGTGTGTGTGTGTGTGTGTGTGTGTGTGGGAGCGGCGCGGCGAGCTCTGGCCAGATGTGCGGCTCTAACTCCAGATGTTCTTCATCTGCGTCGGACCCGCCGCCTGAGCTCCCTCTCTCGCTTGGTCTGTGGCAGACTGGGGAGTGGATGGAGGTCACCTGGAGACAGTGAGGGGTCAGCCCCCGACAAAAGAGTCTTCAGTGGGGACTTTGGTGAAGGGACACTGCAAACCTCTACTGAGTATTTTAACCAGCCCTGGCGGGCTCTGGGGCCGCTGGGGGCCGCTGGAATCACTCGCAGGCTAGCTTGCCGTCGAAGCTGGAGAGGGCGATGGCAAAGGCCTGTAGGGCGCACAGCGGGTACCGGTAGTCTAGGGTGAAGGTGTCTTCCGCCACGCGGCCGAACTGCAGCACGATATAGTCAGCTGTGAACAAACAGAAGGGTGGGAGCTCCCTGAGATCTCCTGGGTCCCCATCCAGTTAATCAACGCTCTCAACATTGGAACCCCAATCCTCAGACAACTTCTCAGTTATTCGTTTCTCTTTATCTCACCTTACTTGCCCCACCTGCAGCTGTAAGCCCCTGAGGACAGGACCCTACCTAACTAACGTTCTGCAGCCCGGGGCTATTGCATGCAACCGCCACTGAAGTATAGGAGCCTGTCAAACTTCCCCAAGCCTAGATTGCTCCCTTGCCAACTTTTCTGTTGTCTTTCGACCCCATTCCTACTTCCTCCTCCCTCCCAACCCACCCCAAGTCCCATCTTAGACCATCAGGCTCAATCCCTTGACTAGCCCCCTGGTTCCCTTCCTTATCCAATGGTCCCACTTGGCTGCCACACCTCCCCCAGCATCCATAGGGACAGGAAGTTGCTAAAAATACCCCCAACCTCACCAGACTAGGCTCCACCAGAAATGTGATCTAGAGAGCAGTTATCCAAGGCCTGGGGACAGGTGACACTGGGGGCACATCCCCAGGATGGAGTGGGGGATGGGGCGTTGTTCAGTATTAGCTGGCCCTGGGAAACTGTAGACCCTTGGGAGAAAGCTTTACATTCCCAAGCTTCTTTACGCGAGTGTGGACCTCTCTCCAAGCTTGTTACAGGGACTTTTTAACTTAAGTTTATGTTATGGGTACAGCTTGTTTCCCTAACTCCTCAAGGGCAGCCCTTTCACCTCATTTGAGAGAAGACAATAGAGTAAGCACTCAGAAGGGCGTGATTAATATTCCCTACTCCTAAAGGTTGAAAGGGGTTAGAAACTGGGCCCTGGTGCCAGACAAGCTGGGTTCCAACCCCAGCCTTACCTCCCACTAGCTGTATGATCTTGGGCAAGTCACTGAACCCTGCTGTTCTTCAGTTTTCTCATCTGCCAAATAGGGGTAATTATAGTACCTTTCTCACAGGACTGCTGAAAAGATTTAATGATTCAGCATCTGTGAAGCCCCGAGAACAGTGCCTGGCACATAGAAAACGCTGTGTAAGTGTTCATGAAGTAAAATTTGAGGGCCAGTGCCATGCGGGAGAAGCCAAAAGGCTGGGTAAGGGCTGCCTTCTCTGAGCCTCGGCTCCTTCTTTGACCACAAAGGGGTTGGGCTATCCATGGTTTTCAAACTCCAGCAGCTTAACTCTCCCTTCAACACAGTTTTATGCAGGATATCCCAGTTTCTATCCCAGGATTCTGCTAGAATGAGGGCCTGGAATAATGAGTCTTAAGACATCTGCTTGGAACCTGAGGCTCCTAAGAGCACAGTGTTGATGCTCCTGGAGGAGAGAGCAACCTTCCTAGATGTTCTGGCTCCAGGGAGAGAGAAAGATGGTGGGAAAAAGCCTGAGTGAGGGTTGGGGTCCTAAAGGTGGGGAACAGCCTGGTCTAGGCCCTCAGATACTCACGGTCATCAGCGTGGACAATCTGGAAGTTCTTGACTGAGGCCTGCGTGACTCTACCTTGGAAGTTGAGGGTGTAGGAGCCACTGTCTTCATTCCAGACAGGTGGTTTGTTGTGCAGCTCAACGAGGCTCTCCAGCGTTTTGTTCTGCCAGCGCACCAGCAGCCCATCGCTGGCCTGGGATGCCGGGAAGTATTGGGGAGAGGACAGTTAGGGCTGGGTGAGATTTCTCAGGAATGACAGGGGAAGGGGCCTGGGGACCTGTGCATGCTCTTGCACAGCCTGGATGTCAACGTCCACTCAGGGTATCTTTGAGAGCATGCTTGGTCTCTGGTGTCCTTGTGGGCAGGGTGAGCATTGTGAGAATGGGGCTTGCTGTGGGACACCAAAGTGGAGGTTGGAAAAGGGAAAGTAGCATCTGGCGCACAGTCGGTGTTCCGTGGCACTGGTACCCAAAGGTTCCTCAGAAAGGCCATATGCTGGCACCTGATTACAAGGATGAACCAGACATTCTAGAACCTACAAGGAGGTCATAGTTGAACTTGCGGAGATGAACACGTAAACAGTGGTTAAAACAAAGTGTCCTGGAAGAGAGTTCCTGGAAGGAGTGACATCTGTGTGAGGTGCTCTTGAGTTCTTTCTCCCCTGATTTGCCTAGCCACCTGGTACATTAATGGCTTAGAGTGAATCCACTCACGGTCATGTCCTCCAAGACACCTTGCCGACCCTATGTCTGATTCAGATGTCCTAGCTCTGAGCTTCCAATAACTCCTTGCTCTTCCTTCTCCCACTACATTGTAATGGACAGAGTTAGATACTCTAAGGGCAGACACAGTATCTGAATAACATCTCTGTGTCTCAGTTTCCCTCAGTTGTGAGGATTAAATAAGTTAATAGCACATAAAGTGTTATTTAGATCAGTTCCCCTGGAAGACAGTAAATGTTCAATAAATGTTAGATATTGTTTTGATGTTAACTGCTGTGTTGTGTTGATTTTTGATCTCCAGTGCTTGGTTTTAAGGAATGGTTGTAGAATGAATGAACTGAGATGATAAAGAGCGACCCAGAACATCACTGGGTGGCTTTCTACTGAGCCCAAATGCACAAAAGACACTTCCACTGGAGGATATGTATGTTTATTCCAGGCAGAGAAGGAGCAAGTGTGGGACCCACAGGATCCTCTAAACCAGAACCTCCCATGGCTGGTGCCCCATGGGTCGGCTGGGCCTGATTACCATGTGACCTTCCAGAATGGAAGAATTTATGATCATGTGATAGGGATATTGTTTTTTCATTGAAAATGAGTAAAGGGACATTGCTGTGAGTATGGGGCATGCCAGGCCTCCTGTCTCTGAAATCCTGGGTTCAAAGGACCCACACTGCTCAGGGAGGGGTGCGGGGCTGACTCTGAAGGAGGCCACCTTTCTGTAGGACATCTCTCCATTTACCCTACACCCACACCCATACACATACACACACACACACACACACACCCTTTGCTTTTAAAATATAAGTTAAATCATGTCACTCCTTTGCTCAAAACCCTGCTCTGGCTTCCTGTTTCTCTCAGAGTAAAAACCAGTTATACAGGCCCTATCTGCCCCTCACTCTCACCTATTACCTCATCTCCCTCCAGCCACACTGGCCACCTGCCTGCTGTTCCTTAAACCCATCAGGCCCCTTCCTGCCTCCGGGCCTTTGCACTGGCTCTTCCCTCTGCCTGGATGATCTTTCTCCAGATATCTGCAGGTTTGCTCCCTCACTTCCATCAAGACTTTGCTCAAATTTCACCTCAATGAGGCCCATTCTGACCACTGTATTTAATATTGAAACCTATAAACACACAACTCTCATCTCTCTAACCCTGTTTGATCTTTTTTATTTTTTACCCAAAGCACTTAGAATTTTCTAACATACTACATAATTTACTTATTTCTCACAATTATTATCTACTGTCTTGCTCTACTAGAATGCCAGCTTCATGAGAGCTTATCTTTGTTTTGTCCACTGATGTCTTCCAGGTACCTAGAATAATACTTGGCATTCAGGATATGTGTGTTGAATATATAAATGGGTGATTTGGTGTAAATGTTAAAAAAAGCAATCATTGTGCTTATTTCAGTGAATTCAATTACACAAACTTTGAATTCATTCCACAAATTGCCAGAATGAATTTGCCCTGGAGGGTGGAGTGTGCTCAGGAGGCTGGGTGTTGGGCAAGCTGACTGCCCCACTAACGCCCCAGCTCCCCCAGAATGAGTCACACAGGGAGTGGGACCCTCAGGGAGGGGTCAGGGAGGTGCAGAGCTCACATTTCGGGGCCTGATGGGAACCCTCTCGTTGTCCGCATTCATGCCTGGAATGATGACCGTCATTCGCCTGGGTCCTCGGAAGCCCAGCACGTTGGTTTCCTGGGAGGGAAATGAGCATTAGGCCAGCCTCTGCAAGGGGAGGGGCCTGCCACGGGGACAGCTGGAGTCTCACATAGATCACAGCTGCCAGCTCCTGCCGAAGGCTCCCCACATCAGCGCTGCTTCTTCCACGGTGCGGGTTCTGCCCATTGTCAAAGACAGTAAAGCGGTTCCCCAGGAGGTTGGACCTGCAAGAGGGTGGAGCTGGGGGCGGGGCTAAGGGAATTGCACGCTCCTACTCCAACACCCAGCCAAGCAGTTTTGAGAGTTGATCATTAGGGGTGAAGGTGTCTTAGGATAGAGCAATTCATGTCTCCTGCCCAGGCTTCCCACATGGGGTCTTTTATAAAGATGGGTTTAGAGACTGGGCAGTGTTCAAATCTCAGCTCCATCTCCTACTACCTGTGTGACCTTTGGGAAGTTACTTAACTGGTCTGAGCCTCAACATCCCCATCTGCAAAATGGATATATGAATAGTATTTACCTCATTTGGTTGATAAGAGGATTAACTTGGTTAATATTTACAAGTTACTTAGAATTAAGCTTGACTCAGGGGTCCGGCCCCTACCTCTCAGATTTGTGGAGAGGATTAGATGAGATATAGGAGGACACATAGCACAGGGTAGGTGCCAAATACCTGTTCGTTCATTCACTTAGTAACTTTTTACTGAGTAGCTATTGTATGCCAAGTGCTAGGGAAGACAGGCCCTGCCCTCGTGGAACTAACATTCTCTGTTCCAAGTGAGGTCCCTGAACAAGCAGCGCAGGCATCACCTGGATGGTTGTTAGAAATACAGAATCTTCCCCCCAACCCCTGCTCCACCCCAGACCCACTGAACCATTTTAGCAAGATCCCCAAGTGATCTGTACAAAGTGTGAGAAGCCCCGGGACAGCCTGTCCAATGTGGTGGACACTCTGCAGGCACAGGGGACAGAGAAGACTGGCCATGGACCTCTTGCTGCTCTGAGCCCCCCTGCCCCACCTCAGCTTCCCGACAAAATTCTCCCCTCCTCGGGACAGATTGGTAGGGTCGCTGGAGATGAGGTAATTGGCTGTCCTGCTCCGTTTCCGTTTCCTGCCAGCCAAGAGGAACACCTGGGGGTGGTGTGGCGACAAGTGAGGGGATGGGAAGATGGGGTGGCAAAGGAGGTGGATGAGGGGAAGAGAAAGACTGTTTGCCTTGTAGACCTTCCCCACATCTTGGCCCCAGACCCTCCCTCAGCCTGGGTTCTGGCGCCTCCAGTCTCCCTCCTCCTCCCTCTCTCTCTCCCTCTCCCTTACCCACCTTTTTCTCCGTGTCCAGGTGCAGAAAATAGGAGGGATACAGGCCCCTATCCATACCCTTCTTGTCCCGGGTCAGCCGGCAGCGCACTGTCCAGCCCGGGGACGCAGGCTGAAGAACGAACTCCTGGGGTTCGCCCACTTCCACGGATGGGGACGGGGCCCTCTCCTCCTGCTGGGTGGGGGCAGAGGGTACATCAGCCCTAGGGCACTACCTTCCCTGCCCTTAGTGTGTCCTCAGTACTGGGACATGGGCAGGGCATGCAGGACTTTCTGTGTGCCTCTTTCTGTTCTCACCACTTTCTGTGCGGGGAGAGAAGAAAGAGGCCAGCTAGAGTGTGGCGGGCCCCTCATCTTCTGCAGCAGCTCAGCAGGCGTGTTAGGAGGCTCACGGAGACTTGCACTTAATTATTATTTCATTTAGCTCGTAGTTAATTTAAGAGTCCAGACTCTGGAGTCAGAGAGCCTGCGTTCAAATTCTGATTCCACTACTATTTGTCAGGTTTGTTAAGGGCTCTGACTTAGGTTTTCCATCTAAGAAGTAGATAGGCTGGGCGTGAATCCCTGGGACTGATCTTAGTTAACTTACACACTTAACAAACACTCATATAAAGTCTATCAATATGCCAGGTGTAGTTTTAAGCACTTTTCAAATACTAACTCATTTAATCCTCTTATCAATATCCACTGAGGTAACTAACTGTCCCATTTTACAGATGACATAGCTGAGGTTCAGAGAGGTTAAGGAGCTTACCCAAGCTCACATAGTTAGTAAGAGGTGGAGCTGGGATTTAATGCTGCCCAGCTTCCTGTTAGATCCAGAGCCTTTAGAAACAACTTCCTTCATGTGGACACACTCTCAGGGGGTGAGGGGAGGTGAGACTGAAGGTATTAATTGCTGTGTTCTAAGCACAGAATGCAGAGGAAGTATTAGCTATCACTATTACTATGAACACATAGTACTCAATGTACTAGCCAGCCTCCAAATTGGTTCCCAGTTGTCCCTGCCTCCTGGTATTGACCCCCATGTGCGGTGCCCTCCCACACTGTATCAGGGTTGGTCTTTGTGACCAATATATGTGGTAAAAGTGATGCAGTGGTCACTTCTAAGGATAAAGCTAAGGCGCAAAAGGTACTGTGGCTTCTCTTAGCTCTTTCTCCCTCAGGCCATTCTCGGACTCTGGGGAGGTTGGCTGCTGGGTCATGAGAATACTGCAGTTGCTCTCCCTCAAGCTGCCCTGTGAGAGGCCTACAGCCAACAACCACAACAGTGAACCATTTCAGAAGTGGATCTTCCATTTCTAGTCAAGCTTTCAGAGTGACTGCGGACCTAGGTGACATCTTGACTGCAACCTCATAAGACCCCAGGCCAGAACTACCCTGCTAAGCTGCTCCTAGACTTCTGACTCACACAAATTAAGAAAATAAATGTTTGTTGTTTTAAGACACTAAATTGTAGGGTGATTTGTTATATGGCAATACATAGTTAATATAGTGAACAAGCAAATTTTGCTCATGGAAAAACTAATAACAATTTGGTTGCATTAGGTTCTATGGTGGCCTGGCCTGGTGACCCACACTGTCCCTTCTGTTCTCACAGACATAGGGCCCTTTGCCCTCATGTTCTAGCCCTCACAAGACAGGGAGTGAAAACTCTAACCCCAGCGTTTCCCAGTTCTGATGTGCTGTGGTTGGGCATTTTGCCGAGGGCAGGTTTGTGCTGCGTATGAAGTGAGACTGGTAGTGGGGAGCGGGCCCTTTGCCTGTGGGCAAGTGAGCACCTCTTCTCCACTCTAGGTTGCTCCAGAAGAAACTTGTAAAACATAAGAGTATGTTTGGAATGTAGCCTGGAGAAAGCCAGAGCACATTCAAACATTTCTACAGCTGTGGATTTCAAGGGCCTACTGGACAGAAGGCTGTACTGCCTTCAGTTCTATTCCTCCTGGGACAGAGTAAACTGCCCCTTCAGTTTATATATCAGCAGCTGTGTGCCTTAGCTACCGTGAGTCAGCCCCCAAGACCTGACCATGCCCAAACAAACTAACAAACCCACGCAGCGAAGACCCCAACTCTGCCCTCATGGTGATCTCTCCACATGTGGAAAACATTTTCTCAAAGACTCTCATCACTTTCTCTTCCCAGTTGGACCTCTCTCTCCTGCTCACTTGAGTTTGTGCATGTTGGTGCCTGAGTTTTTAAGGGCAATATTCAACATATTTAACAACATGCTCTGCCTGTGGAGAATGCCCAGTCAGAATGGACACTGGTAGGCCTGGAGGAGAATCCTAGAGGCTCCTGACAGCCAGTGTTAACCCTTTAGTGGCTGGAAGGTCGGGAGGCACTGGGTGGTGTAGCAGAAAGCACTTGGGGAGCAGTAGGGTGGGCATATTTGAACTCCTTGTTCAGCTGGCTGTCAGTCAGGGTGCATACACAGGAGCATGCTGGCCTGTGTAGTCCACCTCCCTGGTCCAGAAAATGTGTCTTTTCATATGGGGGCTAAAGAGGGGAGGGCTTAGAGACAGGGGACATAAGGGCCCTGGGTGGCCCAGTCCCAGTCTGGCGATCCCACAACTGCCTCTTCTGTTCTCACAAGTCTGGTGCCCTTTGTTCTCATATCCTGTCACCAGAGGAGGAGCCAAGATTCTAACCCAAAGGGATTTCATGGCCCCAGCCCACAAGATCCCACACTCTAGTCCCCCAAGCCCAGGCCCCTGCCACTGTCCCTAAAAGGACCTGAGCCCCCTTCCCCTCTGAGACCCAACCTTTTTGCTTTTCCCTTTCGCTTTGCCCTTCTGATTGCTGTTCTTGGTGACCACAGTAGCCCCCTCTTCCTCCTCTCCCTCTTCTTTCTTCCTCCCCTCTTCTGAGCCTTTGGAAGTGCCTGGAACAGAGCGGGGACAAGCCTTTTTACCCTGGCAGAGTACTCATGGTTGCAAAGTGCTTCTAACAGCCATGTCTCCCTCAGACCCTTCCCACAACCACAGGAGAGTAACCCCATATTACTATTATCAGAGGCTCAGAAAGTCAAAGACACCTGCCTAAGGCCACACAGCTATTGAAATGGTGGTCAAGATGCCCCCCCACCAAGTCTTCTGACTCTATAACCCACCCTCCTACCTTGCGCTGTGCCCCAGCTCCGCACCCCCAGGACTGCCTCTCCATGTCATGGCACCACAGGACACTGCCACCCACCTTTCTTCTTCAGAGCTTTCTTAGCTGGGCCATTGTCCCCAACCCGAAACATGGCTGCTGGGATCTTCTGCGCTGTTGCTGAGCTCAGGGAGGGGTCCTTGTCAGCTTCACCAGACCCTGTGTGTGCATGTGAAGGGGTCACAAGCCCCACCACACCAAGAGTGCCCTGTTCCTCCAGGGACCAGTCTCACCTTTCTTCTTCGTCTTTCTTGTCTTGGTCCCTTCCCCAACTGGCACCTTCTTCTTAATGCGCAGAGGTTTTGGTGGGGGGACAGGGCTCCCCAGGTCCTCTGGACATGAAGGGTGGGAGTTAGACAGACCCTAGGGAGGCAAGCCCTGGCTGGGGCTTGGAACCTGCCTTTTGCTGTGCTCGTTTCCAACCCTGAGTATGCAAAGGGCCCACTTATACTGGACTGCGAACCTGAAGGACAAGGTGCCCAGGCCGGGGGCCGCCACTGCCTATATTCATTGACTGACTTTTACTGTAATCACACTGATACTTTTTATAAAAATTATAACAATAATTCATATTGGATTTTAAAAAGAACCCAACAAACATCACAAGAAAAAACACCCCAAGTTCTCTGCCCTCCCTTGTTCACAGAGCGCCCTGGGCAGGGGCAGGGGTCATGGTATGGGGGGCACATATTGGTCTGCGTCCTAAGGACTATGGGGGAAGAACCACCAGAGGGGGATCTTTCAGGTCCAGGCACTGGGTAACTTTGATGTTTCAGCTCCTGTGCACCAATGAGAACCCAAGCCCCTGGAGGGCAGGGCTAGTTTTACCTGTCTGTGTGCTCTCTGTGCCCTGGACACCCACCCTTCCGACCCTGGGCCTTGGTCCTCTTCTCCCTCAAGTCTGCAGAAGCCTTCTCTGTTGGGGGCTTCTTGGGAGGCAGAGGGGTTTTCTTTTTCTTTCCCTCCTCCTGTTCCCCTTCATGGTCCTCCTGTTCCCCTTCATGGTCCTCCTGTTCCTCCTCCTCATCCTCTGTAGGTAGAAACTCTTCATAATGGGGGCAGGGGTGGCCCCATTTTGGGGGGAGCCCAGACCCTCCATACTGGCGCAAGACGGGACTGAACGCCAGGGGCAGGAGGCTTTCCTTCTGGAACTGGAACAGGAGGCAAGGAGTTCCAGCAACTTCCCCAAAGAATGGGGGTGACCCCAAAGTCTTCGGAGGTGTACAGGCCGGGAGAGTGAGCTGGATTTGGGGGCGAGTGCTGAGATCTGGGGGTCCTGTTCAGGGAAGATGCCCTCCCTCCCCCCTCCTTCCTCTCGTCCTCTCTCTGGGACCCTCCCCTCCTCGCCCGCCTCCCGCTCCTTCCCTGCGGCTTTCGCGGCCCCAGCGCTCTTCCCGGCCCGTCTGCTTTCGACCCTGAGCCAGGCCCACCGGGCTACCTCCGGTCCCTTAACTGCTCTGTGCCTCAGTTTCCCCACCCCGAAAAAGGGAGGAAGAACAAGGGAATTAAGTGTTTTTCTGGCTCAAAGACAAAGTCGGAGAAGTGGAGGGTGTTTCTTCGTGTCTGCTCCTCCCCGTCTGCGGGTCCGCCCAGCCCCTTCCCTCCTTCTCTCCACCCCGCCCGGTACCGACACTTCCCTCGGGCCGTTCTCACCGTCCTCTGCGCCCTGGGCTCGGGCTCCCAGGAAGACTTCTCGGGGGTGGCGCTTCTTGGCCTCGGGGTCCCCGAGGAGCTTGGTATAGACGGCCTGCGGCGCCCGGGCCGCGGCGGGCTCCTCGCGCCGCCTCCCCCTCCGCGCGGCTGAGCCGGACGCGCGCGTCAGCCGCGCCCGACCCCTCCGGCAGCGCCCGGCCTGGGCTGGGCGCTCCCCGCCCCGGCTCCAGACCCTCGGGTTCCCCCGGCTCCGCTTCCACGGCCCACGCCCCTCCTACGGCTTTCATTCATCCCCGCACACCCCGCACCCCGCCTCGGCGCCGCCCCGCTTAGCCTCCCGCCCCCCTCATCCGCCCTCCGCGTCCCTCGCCCTGGGGGACTCCCCCGGGCTCGGCCCCCCGCCTGCCTCCAGGTCTCCTGGCCTTCGATCCCGCAGGGCAGGCGGACTCAGAGGCCTCGGCCTCCTTCTTCAGCCTCTGTCCCCGGGCGGGTCGCTGCGGGGTGCGGGGTCAAGAGGAAGAAGAGGAAGGAAAGGGGGGCTCAGAAGGCTGCCTGTCACCCTCTAATCCCTTGAGTCGCCAGAAATAACCACGGATTATCGGGAGGGAACTGCAGCCTCCTTGTTGGGGTGAGGAAGGATGATCCTCCAATGCACCTCGGCCACCTCCAATGCCCCAAGGACTGACTTCCTTTCCTGGACACTCCGTGCTCCCAAACACCCCTTTGCTAAAAACGAGCGCACACCCCCTCTCCAGGGAAGCACCCCACCCCCGACTCTGCTGAGGGAGGCGTCCCCCTCCCAGACCCTCTACCCTACTTCGGCTTACAGTGTGTGTACGGGGGGATCTTTCTGCCTCTTTTCCAAACGGCGGTGACGTACCTGCGTGGGGCGCCGCGGGACCTCGGGGCTCCCCTCTTCCTCCTCAGGCTCACTGAGGGTAGCAAAGCAATCAGTCTGGCTCCGTTCCCTTTTCCTACCCTTCCCAACACCTCCCTTTGGGTCCCCCAGAGTTCAGGTGGGCAGCCGGGGACCTCCCGCACCTGTCCGAGGCCCACGCCTCCCGGAGGGCGTCGGCCTGCAGCGGCATGGTGCCTTCGCCTACCCGCACCCCGTCGGCGGCCACGCTGCACCCTAGGAGCCCGGCCGCCTGCCCCGGCTAATCCGGGCTCAACTGCACCCCACCTCCGGCTGGCTCAAGACGGTGGGGGCCGGCAGCGCGGTGAGGGTGCTCCTGCCTGCGGCCCCGCCCGCACGGGGCCCAGGCTGCGAGGGAAAAGGCTGAAGCCCCAAGTTCTTCTCAGACCCCCAGCAGCTGGAGGGTGGCATCACTGTGCCAGCAAGCAACCTACCCAGCCTTGAGTTAGAGTTACTGATCTGTAATTCGTCAGTGGTCAAAGGGGTGTGGGAAGAAAATATTAGATCAGATCCTATATTTTTCATAAAAATAAGACTAGAATTTACTAACACTTAATACATATGGATTGACAGAAGTAGGTGTATATACTTTATAAAGAAATATGCCCAGATGATGGGTGTACATTTACCTATTTTTTTTTTTTTTTTTTTTTACTGACAGGGGTCATGCTTTTTTAAAAGTCTGGAGACCAGAGATGTGGTGTTGGTGTGACTGACTTCATGAGAAAGGCTTGGTGAAGTGCCAGGCGGCCCAGAGGGCAGCCCAGGGGGTGTCTGCCGCCTGATTGGAAGCTGGGAAGATAAGTGGGAGTCCCACAGGCAAACTAAAGCGGGGACGGCTCCGTGGAGAGGGAGCAGGCAGACAACGTCTCGGTGGCTGGAAGCGGCCAGCTGAGTTCAAAGGCCTGCCATCTCTGGCATGGCCACTCCTGAGCCCAGGCTCTGAGCTCTGCCACTTAGGAGCTGACCGTCCCTCAGTGACTTAGCCTCTCTGGGCCTTTGTTTGTCATTCATAAAATGGGTTTGATAAGTCTCGTGCAGCCTAAATTAGATAAGTGAAAAACTGCACGCCGTGAGCACTCAATAATTGGTATTACGTGCCTCTTTTCAGAGCACTTCCACTTAATCTGTCTCCCTAACATTTCCAGCACAACTTGACACATGTTTGGGGTTCATTTTTTGAGGGAGAGAATTAATGAGTGCATCTTTATTTCACTTGTTTCTCACAAAAGTCCATCCAGTGAGATAGCGTAGAGATTACCTCCATTTTATAGGTGGAGAAACCGAGGCTCAGGGAGGTGAGCTGACTTGCTCGGTGTCAACCAGAGCTTAAAGTTGCTGAGCGGGGGCTTGAATCCAGACCTGTCTGCTATGAGAGCTTTTGCCCCTTGCCTGTGCACATTTTATAGTCTCAAGGATTAGAGATGGGGATTGAATGAAAGGGTCAGGCTTTTTGACTTTCTTCATTCCTTGGTCCACGTGACCCAGATTTGCCATAATTAATCTTTCTAAAATGCTACTTCTTCAGATGATGCCTTTGCTAAAAAAAATTCATTGGCTCTATATGCCTAAGGTTCAAGTTTAAATGTGCTGGGTTGGCATTCAAGGCTCTCCCTGACCAGGCCCCGACCTGCCATTCTAACTACAGGGATGTCTCAAACCCTGCTGTTCAGCCCCATAGGTTTACTCAGTGCTTTGATCCTTTCTCCCCTCCATGCCCTTCCTCAAGCTGTTCCTTCTTGGAATTCACTCACTATTCCACAAAACCTATCCAACTCTACAGAGCTCTCATGTCCCCTCCTCCAAGATTCTCCAGTCCTCAGTTGCCTCTGAATATATAATCATAATAATAATACTAGCATTTATTGACCACCTACTGCGTGTCAGGCCCCTTGCTGCCATTCTCTTTCCACCTCACAATAATATTTATGAGGCAGATATTAACACTGTTAACAAAGGTGAGGAAACTCACAGCTGAAGGTTGATCAACAGACATTTCCCAGGTGCCTACCATGTGCCAGTCACTGATCGCTCAGTGATAGACAAAGGGATGTGGTCCCTGCTGTCCTGGAGCTCACATTCTTGTGAGAAACATAGTAAAGACATAAATACACAATTAGTTCTAATGACCTCATTATTATTAAGTGTAACAAATGTCAAGAATGGAAAGAACTGGATTCCATGAGACTAGCAGGTAAGATCTAGTCTGGATTTCAAAGACAGACAAGGCTGTCAGAGAGGGAAATTTTTAAATTTAGGTATGAAGGACTTCAAAGACACATAAGAAAATGTTCCAATCATAAGGCACAGCTTAAGCAAAATGTTTCTAGGCAGCAAAGAACTTGGCACCATGGAGCAGTGCCACTCCTTCGGCAGGGCGCGAGCAGGCCTGTCTAAGACCCTCGCTTCAGAGGTGCTGAGAGTCTGAAACTCCAAACAAATGCGTAACTAAGAAGCACATGCTCCATGGCCTCAGCTGATCCCCGCAGACAGGAAATCCAAATGTCCACAACCCAACGCTGCCCAGGCCCCAGGAAACTGACTCCATACCTCCTGCCCACTGTTCTCCAAACCAAAGGTGTCTGTCTGCCTGGCCAGCAGGCATGATGCAGCTTGGGAGTGCGGGCAGGAGCTGAAATTCTTGACTGGACAAAAAGATAAATTCATTTCTCAAATCTTCCCGCTCAGGTTGCATGTATGTGATAGATGTTTGCATAACAAGTGTCCATTTTCTTGCTTCTTTTCCTGGTTTGAAGGTTCTCATGAATTAGTGTGGTCTTCATAACAGTGCACATGGCAGCCAAGGGACATTGTATCATATTTTTAAACAGTCCACATGAGGGTTCAGTTCCTCTGCATGGCGGCCTGGACGTACTGTGTGAGGCATGGTAGCAGTTCTTCATATTGGCGACTAGTGGGACATTGGATGCTATCATGGGACTACTTCTAAAAATATTTAATAAGGTGTAATTAAAATTTCCCAAACCACTTAAATTTGATTAAGATTTTGATATTCATTAATTATTAACTATATTTGTCTTTTTATTTTAATATCTAATTTTGAATATATTAGAAAAGTCACTTTTGAAAACATGTAAAAATAATTTTAATTAAACAATCTCTTAACATTTACTTTTGTTCCTTTTGAGGAGAATGTATTCAAATTTTGTATGTTTTGAATGCAATTACATTTAAAAAAAAAAACCCTTGATCCCTGGCTGATTGACTCTGTTGGCTGGAGCGGCGTCCAGAAAAGGTTGCAGTTTCAATCCGCTGTCAGGGCACACACCTACGTTGTGGCTTTGATCCTGATCGGGGAGCAGATGGAAGGCAACTGATTGATGTTTCTCTCTCTCCCTCCCTCTCTTCCTCTCTTTGTAAAATCAATAAACATATCCTCGGGTGAAGATTAAAAACAATCCTTCGAGAATTAGCACGAGTCAGGATCATGACAGGAACAGAAAATGGCTAAGTGGAACTCAGAAAAGAATAAAAAGAAACTTCTGGGTTTTGGTGGGGCCAGAGCGGTGACCATGTGTGGGGAACTTAGAGGCAGTGAAAATGTTCAGATTTGGGTCAGGGGTGGATTTAAGATCAAACATTGAGATTTTGGTTTAAATGAGGATCAGTTTAGGGTAAGAGTCAGAGCAGAAACAGAGATAATTTCTAGTACCTTCTAATCTGCCATGAGTACACTAGGCCTTTCTCCAAAGGAAGCCAGACTTAAGGCTCTATAATTACACAATGTTTTGGTCTAAAAATGACGTTTCTCAACTTGATCACTGGCGTTAGTCACCAGACCCAATTTCATATGAATTTTAGCTGTTTGCTAAAATTAAATCCACTCTCAGAAGACAGAGATTCGCTACCACCACTGATGAGGCTGCTGATAATGAGCTGCCATTTGCCAGGCACTGTGCCCAGTGCTCTCCACTCATCCTCCCAGCACACGTGCACGTCTGCGGTTCAGAAAAGTCAAGGGACTTCCCCCAGGTCGCACAGCTGGTGCTCGGTGGAGCATTGCCGACCAAACACCCATTGTGCGCCTGTATTTACTTGTCCTGTCTCGAGTCCCTGTGGGAAGTTTGAAAGGCAGGCGAGCACATTATTTCACTTCTCTAGCCTGTAAAGTGGTGACAATAACTGTACTTGACTTTATGAAAGTTGTGAGAATTAAACTGTTTGATACACGTACAGTGCTTAGCATGGTGCCTGGCACACAACAAGGGTCCTAGCGATCTTAGCTGTGTGTTGCTTGACTTTCAGCTCACAGATCAGGAAACTGAGGCCCAAGTCCCTAAGCAACTCAAACCCAGGTCTCCCTGGCTCAGCCTCTGTGGTGCAAAGGTGAAAGGAAAAAAAAGGGGGGGAGGGGACACTCTCCAAAGTCTGAGCATTGGCGATGAGCTGAAGATTTTGCCCAGAAACAGAATCAAGTGCCCTGCTTTACCAGGTACCAGCTGGGTGACATAGGGCAAGCTTCCCTCCTTGCTCAGAACCTCTTGCCTCAAACTTCAATTTCTTGATCTGGCAAAGTAATAAATTTGCATCGCAAAAGGATACATTCTGGTGGGCTTATCAGAAACCTGGGACCTCTGCAGACTGAAGGTATGCTCAGGCTCCTGCAAAATCGAAAATAGTCCTGAGCTCGGAATGGGCTCTTTCTGCTGGCTTGATTTTGTTGAGGTTTTTCGGGGCTTCTTTCCTCCATCAGCTCCCCTGGCGTCCCATAGCCCCTGGCAGACTGCCCTAGGTGGGAGTTTGCCTCAGGGAACACAGACTTGAGGTGCCAGTGTCCTGGTCTTATCGTGGCCTCTCAGAAAAGGAAAAGGAGGCTCAGAAAGGTGAAGTCACTGTCCAGGTGTCATAGGTGGGCCATGAACAGGATGCAGGCCAGCTCTCTGAGTGTAGTTCCTCGGAGCAGCACCCAGGAGGGGCTCGAACGCCTGCTGAATGAAGCCTGGAGGCCGCTGGGTGTTGGTTGCATGAGCTGAAAATGGGATTCGAACCCAGTTTTTACCATCATAAAGCTCATAGTCTGGGTAGGAGATGAGGGTTGGCTGTGGGGGACACAGAGGATGAAACAAAGGTACTGCTATCTTAGAATGTGACCATTGGTGCTAGTGGGGGACCTTGTGCCTTTTCACAGAATCAGTGTGAATCTGAGCTGGA